CGGATCAGCCTTTTGTGTGTGTGTGGGATGCATACAGGACAGTCTTAAAAAGCTCAATCGAACAATCAATTTTTGGTGTTAAAATGTTGAACAAAAACAACTCTAGCAGTAGCAACATGAGAAAAGTCTTGCTTTAATTTGAACAAAGCCACATCACAACACTTTCACTATGATTGGGGAACTGCGGGGAATAGTGATTTGATGCGTATGAACTTATTTTTGTTAGTTATAGCTACTAGATGGAAAAACTGAGATAAAGAAAGTGAAGGAAAAAAGCTGAAAGACAAAGAAAGAAACAAGGACAGAAAATGAAAGAAGGGGAATGAGCGCGTACAGCCTTAAGTGAACATCATACAAAAGTGGGAGCTGAGTGAATGAAAAAAGAAATGAAAAGCATAGAGAGTCACACAATATGAGAGAATGGGAAAAAGCCTTGTGTCACTGCAAAATGAATTTATGTCTGTGTTTTTTTATGAACACACCATTAAAGAGTAAATATATGACAGCACTAATGGGCTATTGGAGCTCCCTTCGCACATGATGGATGGAATTAAAGTAATTGCCTCTGTGTGTTTAAATCAATTATAGAACGCTGCTGCACAGAGATGTGACGAATTGCAAGGAGAGTCCTCACTACAGTCTTCCCGGTCCCTGTGGATGTGTGTGCGCCTACTTTATAATCTCACATCATTCTGAAACCCAAGGGCTGATGACCTTTTCCCGGGAATTATTTTTCCTATTTATTTCACTTCATTGCCGATCACAGCATTAATTCCATCCATGTATGCCTCTATGATTATGACGGTCACATGCAGCTGTTTATGTGGTCAGTATATTGTGTTTGTTGATATGTGCTCATATGCTCATGCCTGCTTGAGTGCACTTTATTGTGTATACCTGAGCACATTAGGGACTGGCATCAACTTCTTTCATCCAGTCCAGTGAGTTTCACATTTGGAGTTATTGCATCCTGAGGGCAGGACCCGAGCTGATGCAGCCATTTAAGAGCAAACCTCTCAGGACAGGGGCCACTTTAGGTTAGAAATAATACTCACAGAAGTCCAGGAAGATTGTGTTCTTGAATCTCTACTCCTGGATTAAAATATATACAGTACAGACCAAAAGTTTGGACACACCTTCTCATTCAATGCATTTTCTTTATTCTCATTGCTATTTAAATTGTAGATTCTCAAAACTATGAATGAACACATGGGGAATCATGTGATTAAGAAAAAAGTGTGAAATAACTGAAAACATGTTTTATATTTTAGATTCCTCAAAGTAGCCACCCTTTGCTTTTTTGATAGCGCTGCAAATTTTTGCTGTTCTCTCAATGAGCTTCATGAGATAGTCACCTGAAATGGTTTGTACTTCACAGGTGTGCCTCATCAGGGTTACTAAGTACTTCTGTCATTGAGAGCAGAGGGTGGCTATTTAAAAAAAAAAAAGAAGAATATAAAACATGTTTTCAGTTATTTCACACTTTTTTTATAAGTACAAAATTCCACATGTGTTCATTCGTAGTTTTAATGCCTTAAATGATAATCTACAATGTAAATAGTCATATAAAAAATAAAGAAAAGACATTGAATAAGAAGGTGTGTCCAAACTTTTGGCCTGTACTGTATATAATTAAATTTAAATGAAATAAAAGAAAATTCTCCAAAATATTTTTACAGTAAAGTAATGTAATGCGAACATTAAGTGATGTTCCATCTATCCATTTCTTCTACTTATCTGGGATTGGGTTGCACGGCCAGCAGTCTCAGCAAGTCAACCCAGACTTCCCTCTCCCCAGCTACTGACTCCTTTTGATCTGAAGAAGCAGCAGCTCCAGTCTGAGCTCCCTCTGGACATCCAAGCCTCAAACCACATCTCTAAGACTGAGTCCAGCCCCCTTACAGAGGAAACTCAATTCAGCTGCTTGTACCTGTGATTGTATTCTTTCGGTCATGACCCGCAGTTCATAGCCATGGGTGAGGATTGGAACATCGATCGTCTGGTAAATCAAAAGCCTTCCGGTTTAGCTCTCTCTTCACCACAAGAGCCTGATGCAATGCCCGCAGTATTGCTGACTCTGCACCAATCATTACGTAGACCTAAGGTACTTGAAATCCTTCACTTGGGGCAAAGACTCACTCTCCATTTAAAAGAGACCAATCCAAAGTTTTCTGGCAGAGAACCATGGCTTTGCATTTAGAGATGCTCACTCTCATCCCAGCCACTTTGCACCCCAATGTCTGCTGGAGATCACAACCTGAAGACATCCACAGAACCACATCATCTGCAAAGAGCAGGGATGGAATTCTAGCGGAGGCCAACATGCATTGAGAACCTGTCTGACTTTGTGCTCAGTATGTGGACACAGCTCTTACTTTGGTCATTGGACCAGATAGCTTGTAGTAATGGCCACAGAACCCCTGCAATAACAATTACCCCTACAAGAGCCTCCAAGGGTTTGACAACATCTAGAGCCTTCAGCATCTCAGGGCAAACCTCGTCTACACTTGGCACCTTTCCACTAAGGACCTTTTTGGCTGCCTTAGCAACCTCTGCCATGGATCTAGGCACCTCCTCAGAGGTGTTGTTAGTTGGATCAAGGAGTTCCTCAAAGTGCTCCTTCCATCACTTAACAAAATCCCCAGTCCAGGTCAGCAGTTCTCCACCCGCAGCTCTCCTTTCCTGATTCACCTGATAGTTTGCCAGAACTTCCCTGAGGCTGACCAAAAGTTTGCTTCTGCAACCACTGAAGCAGCAGCAGCCCTTTGAGTTGCACAGCACCCGTCAACCTGCCAGCTGCCTCCAGAGACCCCTGGGCTAACCAAGCATGAAAGGCCTCCTTCAGCCTCATGGCTTCCCTCACTGCTGGCGCCAACTACCAGGTCTTTGGTTTACCGCCACAACAGGCACTGACAGCCTTCAAGCCACAACTTCTGGCAGTCGTTTTTATGATGGCTTTGAACATGGCCTACTCAGATTCCATGTCCCCATACATAAGAAATCCTTCCAGAGGTGGTCCGCCAGATATTCCCAGTTCACCTGCAATCTAGTTTATCTGTGCTCTGTAATGTTTTGGTCTGGAATCCACCTAGAGGATTAAAAAAACCTGATCTTTGGCAGTGGATTTAGTTTATATGCTTTAGTTTATATGCCTATGTTGGTTGTCCGGTGAGTTTTCTGTTTAAAAACAGCCTGGATGTGTTTTAAATCTTAATTATACTGTTGTGCTTAAAATGCCATATAGAATATACATTAAGATGACATCTAACAGTATATGTGATGTTGTCCTTTTCAATGATAGTAATAAATTGGTAGTTAGTGGTAGGAGTAGTATTTTATATTTGATTTTATTTTATCTGAAGCTAGACACAGGTTTGGGTGATGAGGTGCTGGGGCTCAGTGCAGGTGGGAATCCTGGCAGCTAAACTTTGTACATGCAAGCCCCTGTCCGGGGACTTGCTGGGTACCCCTGACTGGACCATTGCTGTTATCAAGGTGAGATGTGATGAAATGAGTTAAGATATTACACTCATCCTTGTGTCCTATTTGAGAAGGCTTGTTGCCCTGTCTTTAAACAATGGTGAAACAAACATTTGTATTTGTGTGTCTTCTTAAAGCATGAACTGGCAGTAAACAATATTAATATATTTGGAAGAGAAAGTGTGAATCAAATAATTCAGTTGTCTACTTTATCAACTTCCAAAATTGGTTTCAACCATCTTTCTCCTGTGGTCTCACTGAAGCTCTGCAGAGTTCAGTGGTTGGTGATCTGCTGGCCATATGATTTGCTGAGTAACAAAACATGGCTGCTATTGTGTCCTTTCACATACTCCTTTTCTTTGCCAATGCCTGTATGTGTGTGACTCCTTTCACTCATCTGGAAGCAGCTTACTCCTCTGAGCTGCTCAGCTGGCAGCAATCCGAACCCAACCAAAGCTCCCTTTCTCTCTGTCTCTCTCCCTCTCTAACCCCCAATCAAAACTGTCCCGTCTTTCAATCTCTCTTCTCTGTCCAGCTTTGTGGATCTATCCATCATTTCATTTTTCTTTTATATCACTTTCCTTTCATTTCGCTGTGGTCCATTTTCAAACTTATTTGAAAACATCACTTTTTCCCCTCTAGTTGAGCCCTCTCTCCTTTTTTGAAACCTGTTTATATAAGGTTAATCTGTCTTTGACAAAAGGATGCCCCTCTGCTTCTTTGGATGTCTTGGAGAAGTGCTTTGAAAAATATGTGGAAAGGATTAAGGTAAGACCCGCAGCCAGGACTAGCTTTTTCTATTTCTCTATACCCAACTCTTGAGCCTCCAAACACAGACAAACTGATGCACAGGGACCAGCCCTCCCTTCCTCTCTTTTATGAAACCTAACTCGACTAGCAAAACTGAGAGAGTCAAACATCAAAACTTTTTGGACTGCACAGTTACAGCAGGTGTATCATACGTATGCGTTCTGTGTTAAATAAACTGTTGACATTTTTCCTTACTAATAATGTTAGCTATAACACGTGAAATTCTAAATAAAACAAAATTATTTACATGTCCAGCAATTTCCAAAGTTGTTTTTTAATTCTGTTTTTTTGTTTGCCTCTATTGGATGAGGCAATTGAGGAGACACACACACACACACACAAACACACACACTGAGATAATGGACATGAGGCTGAGGCTGAGTACAGATGAACCAGTTGAGAAAGCACCATCAGAGGAGCCGTCAGCACCAGGAGCAGACAGCCGCCCACAGCCACAGGACACCGACATAGGGCCAGTGGAGGGATGTGGCAGACACCAACCTCCACCAGGAACCCTGTGACCGGCCCCTGCAACCACAAGCGACCACCGCTTCTGGTGCCGAAACACTGGGGGTCCTAAAAATGATAAAAGGATAAAAACAAGTAAAAACTAAAAAACGAATAAAACACAGACTCAAAATAAACCAAGGCAAACTAGAATAAATGAAGATAAAACACATGAATTTCAATTAAAAGCTAAGCTAAAAAGGTGGGTCTTGAGCCTGTTCTTAAAAACTTGAATGTTCTCTGTGGCCCTGAGGTCCTCTTGCAGGCTGTTCCACAGGCGGGGGCCATAATACTGGAAAGACGCCTCGGCGTGAGTGTGTGTCCTGACTTTTGGAATGACTAGGAAACCTCTGCCAGAGGAGCGCAGGGTCCGTGGAGGGTTCATAAGGTATAAGCAGTTCTGAAAGATAAGAAGGCCCAAGACCATTAAGACATTTAAAAACAAGTAAAAAAAAAAAACCCTAAAACAGACGTGGAGCCAATGCAATGATTCTAAAGCCGGTGTAATGTGGGCCAGAAAGCAGGAAATGTGAGGAGTAGAAAATGAGGGTATACATGACGCAACGGGGTCAACCCAACAACCACAGCAGCAAATACTATAGCCCCTGCATTCTCACCACTGTAAGTGGCCAGCGGAGCCGATTTGTTTTTTGTGTTCCTGGGTTGTGTCAAACACCAGACCGCCATACAGCAGTCAACATGCACCAGGCAGGCTGTTGTCAGGAGAGCAGATAACTGAAGTGTAATTTAACCAATGAAAGTTAAACTATAATTGTTCTGCTGTTTATAGTAAACAGTAAGCCTGACATCTATGCAGGCGTTTTCTTGTTTCTTGTTTATTATTTATTACAGTTGGTCCAAGGTCGAGTACACGCCATCATGCATCAAGGCTATTTGCATCCAGTCTGCACCCTTGGTAGGCGAAGCTAAACCGATGCTTCATATCCAACAATTCTGAACCAGCTGTATCGCAAATACTCTCCTGACACAGACCCTTATTATGCCTTCATCCAAAATTGCTGTTGAAGTTTATTTTTATATCTACTCTGTCAATGGATTTAAAAGCACTTGGGAAATTCCACTCAGAGGAGTGGCACTTGGAGGCATCTAGTTAGTCTTTTGGTGGAGTATAGAGTAGCACCTAAAAATGAATTGCCAGTGTGATATACCACACTATTGGTCTGAACCTTATGGGGGAGCACTACCAAAGTTTAGAAAAATAAATGAGAGGAGGATTTTTTAAATTATTATTTTGCACTTTGTGAAGAAAAATGTCCCTGGTATTTTCTGTCTTTCTTTTTTTTAAACCTTTCAGTCTGCTGAGACAGTAATTAGTGTTTTGTTCAATGAAATCCATGTGATGAAAAAAGGAGAAGAATGGCTGAAGCCGATTTAAGACAATGACAATGATAATCTAGACATTTTAACATTACAACTGTTATGGTAAATGTGTAAAGGATGCAGCAAATTAAGGTTTAGGAGACAGAACAAGATATGAAGAGCAGCCTGGGCGACTGCGTTATACAGACATAGAATTCAGTACATCTGACAACAAGGTCCTAACTGAAGTCCTTGTAGGAGCCCCTCACTCTCCTTTCCCTCACTCTAATGCTAGTGAATGTGTTTGTAAACGTAAAACAATATGTGTGCATTACAAAGTGTGAGTCTCTTTCCCAGCCCGATCACCAGGAGACTGGATATCAGCCAGCACTGTCATATTTCCCAGTGTTTTGGAGTCAATGTGACATAAACAAATAGAGGAAAACCCAATCTGATGTTCCTGATAAACATCAACTGACCTTACAGATAAACTGCATCTGACCTAACAAATATCCATGCTTAGTATAAACCATTAATATAACCATTCTATACATTTTCCCACACAACTTATCACAGTAAGACACGCTGCAGTGTGTAAATGATCACAGACCACACACAGTCTATACCCAGTTCTTCTCCTTCATTTGATGCGTTTCACTGCATGTTGGCACTTTGGGCCAACGGAGAACAACAGAGAATGTAAAAGAGTGAATTTTGGTAGCTGGGTATACCTTAAATCTTCTCCACGTTTTATTTCTTTCAAATGTTTCACTTACTTTATTGATGTCAGTCGGCACAGAGATGATTTGCAGCCTAAAGGCAAGCAAAAAAAAGAAAGAAAAAAAAAGAAACACTTTTAAATAAATAAGGCTATTCCTATGAATCAAATTGATGTGCAAAGTCAGTATTTTAACAAAGGAACCAGAATAATCTGAACCGGTACAAAGTAATCAAGTGCACAGTCAACAAGAGTTATAAGCCAGGGTAGCATGCAGGTCAACATGCTGCAGAGGACAAAGGATAAAAAAGGTTAGCATGGCCTTCTGTTCAGGTGACCTGACAGGTCGAAGCAAGACATAGGTTGAGAGAGGAAGACGAGTTCGCAACAAAAAAGGAGGAAGGGGAACGGAGCTTGTGAATGAGAGGTATTGGCCTTGTTGGTATAAGCTTATTGAGTGTTTTGTGCTGCTTTAAACCTTGATAGACAGCGCAGGAGCAGATTTCATGTTGCATCTCTTCACGTCTAATGTTTTTTTTTTTTGATAACACATTATCTTTTTATTCACAAACTGACACAAAGCAGTGCTCTGGTGTTTGGCCAGTAACTGAGCATTCCAACCTTGTGGTATTTTTCTTATATTAGGGTGTCCTCACCACTCAGCAACCACTGACTTTACTCTTGAAATTAAATGTATTTTTTTTTTTGTCATGCTGACTTTATTTTCAATCTATGGTATGGTATGGTATGGTATGGTCTTTATTGTCATTGCAACTGTGCACAACGAAATTGCATTTACAGATGGGGAAAGTACACACAAGAGGGAGGGAGAGGAGGAGGTAAAAAAAAAGAGACTGCTCTCATTGAGTGCAGTGGCAAAAAAACCCTCAGCAACATGAGCACATTACTGACACCACATACACAGAGATTTGGAGACATGCTATATAGGTGTTGTTCTTAAAAATTTGTCTTTATTTTCAAATTTTTTTCCGACATCTTTCTGGAAGTGCATAGTAAAAATCTTCCTTGTTTAATGACTTTTACCCCTATCTCAGTATGATTCAAGACAAGTAACTAATAATGTATAAGGGGTATCCATATGTAAATTTTTTTTTTGATAGAATCATTTAACCAACAAAGGATATTTTCTAATCAATCCTGAATTTGTAGGCAGGTTTTGAAGAGTATGAGAGAACTTGTGGTTTAGTGTTGTAAAGTCACTTAAAGTCATGTCTTTGGACATTTGGAAATGCAATCAGACCAAGATGCTAAGGCAGAAAAAGTCTCTTTAATAAAGAAATTAGACAAAGTTAAAAAGACGTTTGGTGGCTAGTACTGTGGCTGGGACCCTATATGTACTGTTGATGAAGTTAGGTGCTGTTCTAAGCATTATTTGTGGCTATAGAGTGGTGTTTTGGTCGAGGTTTGTTAATGGCTCCTCAGACCGTTGTGTATTGTTATTGTGCGGTCGTTACTAAAGTTGGTATAACTAGAGAAGCAAGCAGTCCGCAACATTCATCTCTTAAGGGGGTGTCTAACTCGGTGTTACGGTGTGTTTGACTCTAAATTAATTTTATGCTGGAATATCCCTTTAAATAGTAAGAAGCTACATCAATTCAGACACAGTATGGTCTGATTTTATCAACCAGCTTGTTAATGTGGATCTGGATCTTCCTGTCCTCTATCAGTGAGTCTGTCAGATAGATTGCTCTTCTTCAACCTCTGCTCCTCACACTTGACTAATCAAAGCTTATCAGAGGTACTGATACTGCCCTCAGAAGTGTATTTAGACGGACTAGTTGGACAAAAAAAAAAAAGTCAAGTATTGCGGGTTAAAACAAAACCATGACCAGGTTTAGAGCAGTTTAATGACATAACTTTCCGCTTACTCAACAAAGAAATGATTGCCTCATGATTTCTGCAAGCACAACAAAAATAAAACATGCAACAGCAGACCTGGGGCCAAATCACCTGCACTCAAACAAACTAGAGCGACATCTGAAAACCCAGAGCAGCGGCTGATCGTGGGATTCCAACTGTGATCCGTTTAGTCCCCCTCTGTGCGGGGATTCTCAGGGATAAGCGGGCCAGGGGAAGGACTTTGAGGTTTTCCGAGTCACAAGCAGAGCTTTGGTGTTTTCCACGACATATCCTGGAAAGACCTGGAATGTGGAAGATTCAGGATTTGTGTTTGGGCTGAACTAATTGAGTCCCCTATAAACCTTGCTGCCCTGACTCCAGGACAGTGCGAGCACTCAGGCACTCATCTACACACACAGACACATGCACACACTTGAATACACATCCACAAATGCGTGCTCCCTTTTGTCTCTTTCTGTGCCAAGCCTAATCCTGCCTTACCAGCTGCAGGAAAAGGGAAAGAAAGGGAGAGAGAATCTCCTCCCTCTATTCAGTTCCAATTCACTTTTCAATTTCAAGGTGCTTTATTGGCAAGGCTGTGCTTGAGTGATGCCAAGGCAATTAACAAAAAACAGGCGCTTTCAAAGCAAAAAGAAAAGGAAAAAAGCAACAGTTGCATTATGTATAAAAGAAAAATATGTTTTGAATACGACAGTGAGAACAATAATAATAATTATAAAAAGCCATGATATCATTTAATTTGCCTGCCATTTCTTTTTTTCACACACACACACACACACACCACGCCCGGGGGGGTCAGAGCAGGGTTTTCCTTTCCTCTCCTAATTGTGATGGACCAAGTGCTCTAACAAATTGTGTAAACATGTGTGGAAGCAAAGAGCAGGAAGCAATGGAAGAGTGATCACAGTAAATGAGTTTCTCAGGAAATGACTGGGCCCCTTTTTGATTGCCCAAATGCAAGTTTCCCTATCCGACATGACACCTGAGTACAGAGGCGCGTAATGTGTCGGCTATAAGGAATGTAAGGAAAAGATAAATTTGCAGGTGTGAGGTAGAGAATTGAAAGTAGATAATTTGTAATCACACTGCACAGCAAGTGTTTGATGTTCTTTCAATGGAGCTCTGCAGTTAATTTTCAATTCTCTTTGAAACAGAGTAAAATAATGAGTTGTGAGAACAACACAGCGCTGTTATATTTTAGAGTAGCAGGGGTCAAAGTATGCTCGGAATTAAATATCTGGGCCATTCAAGTAGGAGGAAACTTATTTGTGCGCTTCAACTTGTTTGAAAATTCAAAACTGCTGTCACCACCTGGTGACAAAAACGTAATTATACCAAACAATTTAGAAAAGAGCACTGACATTCACAGTGGGAAACTCTCCCCAGATCCCAAGGATCTTAACAGATGTCTCCTTGGTCCCTGGCTGAATTGGACGTATTTCCAAATCTACCATGCTAAGTGTTGTCCCAGAGGAGAGAGGAACAACATCAAAGAAATGATGAGTGAGGATATGTAACAGCAGCCTGCAAATATCACTGTAAACACAACAGACTCTGAACATCACCGGAGCTTAATGATGGAGAAAACACAGCCTTTAAAACAGTCACTGAGAGGGTTCCTCAAAACAGATCAGAAACAAACATTGGTTTCTGAATAGTTGGTATGTGATGTACTGAGGTAAAATAAGTGTTTAATATCTATAAACTGTATACTGTTAATATTTTTAAAAGTAAACTCAAGACCTACCTTTTGAGTCTGGCTTTTAGTTGAATTTTGTTTTACTCTTTTAATCTGTATTATGTGATTTTACCCTATTTTTGTCCCAGAGTAACTATTTTGTGTTTTATTAACTCTTTTTAAATTTACTTTCTGTTATTGTATGTTTTTAAGACTGTTTTATTTAATAAACTTTTAACGCTTTATCACCTTTATTATATTTTATTAAGATTTTATCGCTTTAGTCCTAGATCCAGTGTTTCCTCTATTTTTTTAAACTCAAGATAGTGTTTCCTCAGTCATCTGTGGGAAGTTAAAGAGTCCTCACCTGGTCTTTTGTGTATGCATCTGTGTGTGTGTGAGTGCTGTATGTGTTAAATGGGGCTGGGAGGATGGTTGGGGTTTGGTATTTGTATTCTTATTTATTTTATTTCATTGTTTTTAATATCTGGCTCGAATGGACAGCACTTTGTGCTACATTCTATGTATGAAAAGTGCTTTAAAAATAAAGTTTGATGAATTGATTTATTGATAAATCTGTATGTCTTTACATCAGTAGTCCAACCAAAAAATTACATTTGAATATTCCATCCAAACAATCCAGGAAGAACTTTTAAAAACTGAAATAAATTAATTCTTTGATGATGTGCTAGGTGACAGCACCTCAATGCCACACTACTGTACTGACAGAGAGGGGAAGCAGAGCTGTCTATCAGTGTGGTGCACATCTGTAACAACTTCATCCTGATCAGCTTGTGGGAGACTGTAACGCTGATTATAAGCATGCTCTGTGATTCACTGCATGTTACGCTCTGGTTGATTGTTAATCTCCCTCCTTTTCAGCCAGAGAGCAAGAAACTTTAGTTCAGTGATGTTCCTGCTCATCTTTGACAAAAAGACAAAAACCTGTTGTTGTGTTTTGTTGAGCAAACTTAACAGCCTGACAGCAAACAGGTCCAGCTGTTTTCTCTTTTCTTCTGTATCGATCAATTCCCTCTGTGACAAGTGGCATTCGGGTAAAAGTAGAAAATCAGGCACTCTACTGCTCAGTTGACATTACACTGGCTGGCATGAAAGAGTGTGGACTTCTAATACGAGAAGATTAGACATTTAATCACATGTAATGAAAGGTGACTAATGTCTTAAATTTGGACTGTTATGATAATTATTCAGTTTGCATTTTTTTTGCAAGTTTTTATCTGTAAAGCAACAAAACCATTCAAAAGCCAGGATATACCAGCTCTTGTAAACCCAACTCGCTCTCTTTACAGATTACATTGTGAAATCTCCGCCGTCATTGTTAGTAAGTTGTAGCTCCTGTGACTATGTCTGATTCACGAGGATTCACAATGCTGCGACAATGCACTTAACATGACAAGGAAAAAAAATGGAGGTGTTTCTTCTTCTTATGTGTACAGTAAGTACACGTAATTACGAGTAATGATATATATCTAGGAAACACTGTACTGAAGAAGCTGCAAGTATCATCATTAGTAGTTTGCATGATGGGAGGGAATGACATTCAGTGCATTCTGTGCATGAGTCAAAAACCTCAAACTGAGTAGAATCGGTTGTCTTGGGGATAAATATGTGTATGCATATATATATGTGTGTGTTTGCATGTTTCATTTTAGGCAGAGGATCTACAGCCAAATGGTTTTAAGTGTTTTAGTGTGTGCATTTGTCTGCAGATTCGTTGATGACTTAATAACTCTTTTTTTATCAAGAGGCAACCTGCCAGAGATTTGTGTGTGATGAATATTTGTGGCTGACAATTACTGTAATGGCTCTTAGTGTGAATGTGTGTGTGTTTGTATTTCTTTGTGTGTGTGGGGGTGTTTTGTTATGGCTTCCCTACAGCCTGGTGTTAACCACTTGACATTTGGGAAGTGCTTTCATTAAGTTGGACAGCTGTCTCAGACAGTTATGATGACAGGACTTTACAAGTTATCCCAGTTAATACTGTGTCTGTCTTGGATCAATAACTGCCTTATCCTCCACACTATTAGTGCTTGTGTGAACGCAGGCACAGACATATACACGCACAAACACTTCATTGATGATATGAATGCACAAACATGCTCTGAGACACACACGCGTGTCACCAGTAGGACTTTAATCCTCAACTGCCAGTGGGTCGTCAGTAATGAAGCAACACTGGAGTTGAAGCTGAGCAGCAGTGGTGAGAGGATAAAACGGGGAAGACGTTATATGAAAAACTAAACATATTTGAGGATGTTACAGGCTGCAGGGCACAGGAGCTCAAACAGATTGGGTGATCTTGGCAGGTCGTGCTGCAATTACAATGTTTATGTATTTTTTTATTCCTGCTGCAAAGGATTAATTAAAGAGAAAAGATAGTATATTTTTGACAATGTTTTTATGAATGGCTCTGTAAAAGATTACTGGTGTTACCATGAATCGTGTGTACTTACTTGGGTTTTTGTGTAAGTTTAAGGTAAAAATACCGATTAAAGGCATGGTTGACGATCTGAGAAGTAGCTGAAAAAAACTGAACCCCCCCCCCCCACACACACACACACACACACACACACACACACAAACCTCTCCCCTCTGTGCTCCACGATAACCCCCACCGAACCTATATCACCCTCCCCACAACACACCCCATCTTGTAGAGCAAGAAGCTGGCCGGCAGAAGATCCTACGCTAGCTGCAACTGCAATTCACCATGTCGGATTGCTGGTGACTAGCGGCAGTAGGCCTGTCGCGATAATCAATAAATCGCCTTATCGCTCGATAAATAAAAACGAGGTCGGTCATTTTGCCAGCCTCGATAATTTACGTGCGTTTGTTTTCCTCCTCTCTCGCTACCAAACACGCTGGATGAGAGAAGAGGACTCACTCTGCGCATTTTTCTCGGCACCTGGGGGCGTTGGCTGTATAGCGGAATGAACGGAGTTAGTGAACCCTCCTGTCAGTCATTCAGTGTCTTTGTTACGAGGGGGCGCGCGCGCAGGTACACGTAGGCGCGCACAGGCACACAGACACAGACTTTTGGATACAGTGCTGCAAGTGAGCGTCGTGAGTGAAAAGCAAGCAAACAGAATGAACACGACAGCTTTGGTGTCTAAACCGAACGCAACAGCCCAAGTGTGGGAATATTTCGGTTTTAAACCAGTTTTGTTATCGTCAACCACAAAACTCCGCGTGTGTGTGCGCGCGCGTGTGTCTGTGTGTTGGAGGAGCACAGCAGGCTGATGAGAGCTGTCAGAGCGGACTGAAGCTGCTCCTATATGTTTAGCGTTTAACTGACTGAGTTTTGCAACTCTGTTCGTCATTTTCGTGTCGTCCCATCAACGTAAACGCACTTTCGTCTCGTCACATTTTAGTCATCTCCGACTTATGTTTAGCTCGTCAACGTTACGTCTTCGTCGTGGGTGAAATTAAAGTTTATCACTTTTGACACGGTGTACTCGCATTATTATGCCATTTCATATAATTATCTATGATTTAAAAAACGGTGTCAATAATATCGTTTATCGGCGATAATTTGTAGCACAATTATCGTCCAGCAAAATTTGTTATCGTGACAGGCCTAAGCGGCAGGAAACGCCAGCTCTGCTAGCGAGCACCGTCTGCTGCTGCCTGGACAGCTACCCTGTTGACATTGCAGCGACTAATAAGAGTTATTTATGTAAATGTGCCACGATAAAAGGCAAAAATTACCTGTTCAACAAAAACTCTGCTGTCTCAGCATCTGTTTTCTTCACCGCTCGAAGGATGACCCGATGTTTATTAGAGTTAGATTCCTCGCTTGGTCACATTTTCTCTTCGCCTTTTTTTATGACGGCTTGCGTTTTCTTAGCACTTTTGGCGGTGGGGCAAGCGGAAGTGTTTTTTTTTTTTCCTTTTTTGCGTCCTTCTCCATCACAGCTCCTGTAGCTAAGCTGCTGTGCTACTTTTAGCTGCTCAGAGCTCGTAGGACGGCCGCGAGAGTGGGAGGGGACGAGTCGGAACTATGGGAGAGGGGTGTGTTGAATACAGTGAGGTGATTGGATGGAGAGGCGGAGCAGGAGATTTACCAATGGGAGCTGTCCGGGACGGACGGCTCCCATTGGTCAATGTTTTTGTAGCCCTGCATCTGCTAGGATGAATGGATTTTTTCCATTCTTTTTCTCTTCACTTTGTGGAGATCACACTATAGGACCACGATGGCCATATAAACAAGATTCATAATAATTACCAATCTCTCCAATCATCAAACATGCCTTTAACTTTCTCGTTAACCAATCAGACCTCACCTGTTCTTATTATCTTTCTGCCTTTAATATGACTAAAGTTATTTCAGTACAGACATGATGACATCAAAGCCTATACCCTATATCAAACATCCAGTCATTATGCACATGATTTACATGAATATACACTGATCAGCCATTATATATAAGCCATCTGTCTCATATTGTGAAGGCCTCCTTGTCATCAGATCAAGATCAAAATAGCCCTGACCTGATTAGATTGTTGAAGGCCTGCTTTGGTATCTGGCACCTCAGTGGATCAGACTTGGTTTTCCAGCACATCCCTCATAAGTCTGAAAGGGTTTACATTCTCACTTTCTTCCATTGTTCCATGGTCCAGTTCTAATACTTGCAGGGTTCTCTTCATGAGCCTTGGTCACTAGTTTTCTTCTTTGGACTACTTTTGATGGGTAAGACTGCAAAGCAGTAACACCCCACATGAACTGCACTTTTGGAGATGTCCTGACCCAATTATTATCAAACTATCACTGACTAATTCTTTAATTATAGACAATCCAAGAGCTACTCGGATTAAGGTCAATACTTTTACTTTACAAAGCCTCATCTTCACATGTCTCATCTGCAGCATATGAGGCTAACATGCAAAATCAAACCAGCCACAATTAACACAGTCCTATTAACATGTATATTCACCATGTGCATCTACACATATACTCTTCATTTTCACACTGCTAAAAAGCAACTGTCCCACTTTTGTGTAAAGCGGTCATAAATCCTCTACAACTCCACCTGCTCAGAGGACAACAGAATGACTTTTAGTATCTAGAAATGTTTCTGCACATGGATTGAATGGGACATTTCAATGGACTATTGGTGCTTTCTGTTTAACCTGAATGCCAAATATAGCTTTGAGAAAAACAATTGTTTAATTCTTAAAACTAATGTTGATATGCAATGAATCAAGTCTTTTGGATGCCAAACAAATTTACAACAAAAAATGCAAAGGTACAAAGTTTGTACCAAGTTTTAAATCATAAGGTAGCGCTTTGTCACAATTCTAGATGTAAACCACTGTAATCTTGGACAAAAGCGCGAAAATGCATCTATGCTCTAAGGGTTTCAGTTGACAACCACAGCCGAGCAGGGTAGCACTGCTTGACTGATTGACCACAATCGAGAGAGTGGGGCCAAAACATTGAGCTCTGCCCTCGACTGGCTTCTATAAAGCCTCTGGAGAGGTGGCCAATTAGAAGAAAGTGGGCTTGTGGAGGGGGGACCTTAAAGAGACAGCAGCTAAACAAAAGCATTTTAAACAGAGGCTGGAATAATGATATTCTAATACACCTCTGTGAGAAATTTAAGACTTTTTTAAAATCTGGAAATCATGTTAAGATATGAAAGAGGTATCAGAAAGGAAATATAGAGTCTGAAAAAATGCATAATCCCCCACTTAACAAGGAAGAAGTGAAATTGAGACTAGTTATTTTCTAAATAGATGTTACTGCAGTATTTGGTCAGTAAACTGTAAACAAAGATTAGGATTGGATATAAATAATGACTCATCCTGCTCAGGCTGGAACAGATTAGTGCCAAATGATAAACATTTTCAAGACGGACAAGTTAGTTTGGAAGGAACTGAAAACCACAACAATTATCTTTGTTAAAATGAGTTTATTGTAACAAGAAATTATCAGCAGCAGTTCAGTATTAAGCTCCTCTCTCACAAACTCTGTGGAAACAGCTGGGAGGCCAAAAGGGGGTAAAACATAATTTTGTTTCAGTATCGTAGACGTATTACTATTTGTGCTAAGGCATTAAACACATACTGGGTTTTGATAGTGCACTAGAAATTGAATTATGCAAATCATTTGTTGGGAAAATTGTCCAAAACTCTGCCTTGCTGATTACTGTAATGAGGTTTGAAACATTTTTTTCCCCCCACATAATATTTTTAATATTTTCTGAGAGATGTAAAAAGAAAGAAAAAAACACATAAACCACTGAGCTGTAACATGGAGGAGAAACCACAGTGAGAAGAGAAAAATAATTGCACATAAATGCAAATATAATTTTCTTGTTTCCATATCAAACCATATCTCGTTGTTTATACCCACTTAATTACAATGTTTCATTAATTACAACAGAAATTTAATAGGGAAATTTACAAGTCTTCAAAGGCTGTCAGATGTGGAGAGAAAGTAAATAGATGTGCTATCAGGGGGCAGTGTGCTCAGATGTTTTCCAGCTTTCACTGGCTGTTCTTAATTGTGGTATGAGCCGACTTCTTTGACACCCACGGAGGAGCTGTCTAGTAATAAATGTGAGAGGTGCAATTGTTGTAATTATTTCATTGCCTGTATTATGACAAAACAAGCATGATAACACCTATTCATTTCTTAAGAGTACTTAAGGACTACTTAAAAAAACTGAATACATCCAAGAGACGGCATTGGTCAAAAAATCATGTTAAGAAATTTAATTCTGTAATGCACTTCAAAGAGTACAAGGATTCTTGAAGCACTTCAACATGTCTGTTTAGAGAAAAGTGAAAGATGGAGTTGTGGTTACCCTGAAAACCCACAGGAGGCACTAAGTTTAGCTTTTGGTCCACCTGAGGGTGTGCACCCCTGCACACTGGAAGCACGTCTCGCCTGAAGCAGCTGCACTCTTTACAGAGAGCAAGATACTTACAGCTTATTATTCTGTGATATACTGTATGTGCTTTTAATGTTGGTGAGCATGCTGCATGACGATACAGTTTAATTTTTTTGCAGAAGTATCTATGTCAAGTATTTATAAATACGTTCCCTTCGTTGTTAGCGAAAAGTCATGTTAGTTTGGACCAGGCCCGGTTCTACGGGGGTGCATAAGCATGCATTGCACCCTCAGTTTATGTGGCTGCATGCTCAGTTGGAAAGAGGGAGAAGTGCGCGCGCGTCAGGGCACGTCACTCATCTGCCTGCGTGCAGCGCGCAGTTACCTGCACTCGCAAGACGCTGCTCTCTGCTGCACCGATAGCACAAAGTAAACAATGGATATTCGAAAGTGGTTCCAGCACAACCACGCCATCAAGTCAGACAACGGTGGTCGTGGTGAGAAAGAGACTCAATCCCAACTTGAGCTTTGTGAAGCTGGCGTAGCAGCTGCTGCTGGGGAGCAAGCAGTAGCCTCGTCCGGCTGCTCACTCCTGCCCGAGCCGCTGCCGCCACAGCCCCCCCTCCCTTCACCCCAAGGCCCAGAGCAGGCGCCCGGCCCCCCCGACATTTGAAGTGGAATGATAATAGTCAAACAAGAATATTTAAAGTGTCTTTCAAATGCAGTTTTGCAGCAATATTGTAGCAGAAAAAAGAAAATGCTCCATTTAGTCTGGGCTACCTCACCTATCAGGCAATCTTAACAGCAGATGTTTCTTACCCTGAATATCAGGGTAAGAAACATCTGTTACAATATTGCTGCAAAAATGCATTTGAGACTGGTAGAATTCCACTTAAAATGACTGCCATGTTTAGTGATGGTTTTGAGCTGTATAGTTAAAAATAGTTTGAATTTCTATGTTAAATATTCAGGGTAAGAAACGTCTGCTGCAAAACTGCATTTGAAAGACACTTTAAATGTTCTTGTTTGACTATTATCATTCCCCATGAAATGACTATCATGTTTAGTGATGGTTTTGAGCTGTATAGTTAAAAATAGTTTGAATTTCTATGTTAAATATTCAGGGTAAGAAACATCTGCATTTCCTTTTTCTACAACAATTTTGCTACAATAAAGCATATGAAAGACATTTTAAATATTCTTGTTTGACTAGTTTCATTCCGCTTGAAATGACGGGAAAATGCATAATTTAGTGTTGAATAACGTGCCAGGCATGTGCACCCCCTCTGATCTGAGATGCACCCCTAGTCATCATTTTCTAGACCCGGCCCTGGGTTGGACACTGATTACAAACAGGCCATGTTGTAGTTTGATGCTTACAATAAACTCCTAAAATGAAATGTCAACATGCCTTAACAAAAGTAATTTGGGATGTTTAAACACATATTACCACCAAATACAGAAAATAAGTGTCACCTTCTCTAAGACACACTCTGTTTTTATTTTTCTGGCAGGTTCCAAAATGGAAAAGGGGTTTGAATTGTATCCATGTGGGAAGAGTATTGCTGCATTCAAGATGTTTTAGTCCTACACATAGACTGTATATAGAATGGACAGCGTCTGCCTCCTTGCTGGGTGAAGCCACTCTGAGAACAGCACCCTCTGTTGACGGGCTGCAGTATAGGTCATAAAGCAAAGCTTATGGGGCTTTGGACAAACTTTAGAATTTATCTGACATGTAGTTATTGTAAGACTGGTTTGTGCTCAAGTCCTCTTTTTTTCTGTACAGTTCCGTTTTTAAAAGTTATTACGGGGCTCATGTTTTCTATGATTGACACTTGATACAGCCTATGGGCGTACAAGGATTGCGTAGCTCACCCGGTGAATACGCTGTTTGAGCTGAGTGTCATCACAGCGACTCTTGGCGACTCGCACAATGCTACTGTGCAAGTGGAGGAGTGCGTACAACGCTACTGCGCAATGTTTGTTTTAATTTAACAAGTATTTTCAATTGCACCATCACTTTACAAGTCATCATACTCATCACTGTACAGCTCATTTTGTGGACTAAAAAAAAAAAAAAAAAAACATAATGAAACTGAATTTGCTACACCAAATTTTATGATGCCTTGCAGGTTTGCACAGCTTTTATTTAAATACCAAGAGACAGCTTGTGTTTTGGGTCCTTTCAGTGGGTCTTAGAATCATGTTGGAAAAACATTTGAACTGTTTCTACTGCTTTTGTCACCTGTTTGAATCAGTCTACTCAGCTGTTTGCTCACTTTACACCGAGCACTTCAATTGATTATGAAGCAGGATAAGGTGAGAAGGTCTGGGTGAATCACTGCAGCACAGATAACAGTTTTTCTGCCTTATCACTATCAGGATCTGTACACATTTTTTCTCACCTTTCAGCAGCATTTATACTTTCTCTCATCCTGAACTGTGTCAAGTTCAGGGAGTCATTCAACTGCCAAGTTTTTGTTGTTTTTAATTTCTATATGCAGTTTTTTTGTACTTGGTAATCTCTTTCACTTTTTTACTGTTTTTATGTTCTTTTTTCTTCTCCTCCATAGTAAATAATGTCTCTTAGCAATAGTCAGATCTTTATAGGGTACTTCATGTACAAGAAGCAGACCTTAAAAAGCTGTAAATGAACAATCAAAAGTAAGTGTTCGAACAAGCCATGTGAAAAAGTTTTTCAACAAAAGATTAAAGTATGTTGACTTTGTTTTCGCATTTTAACAATTTCTAACACAAAAATAATTTATACATATAATTTTTTTTTTTTATTTTTTCAAAGATGTGAAGACAAGGGGCTGCGTGATTTCATTCTCTGTCTAACTGAGAAAGAAATTAAAGCAGCTGTGGCAACTGTGGGAGGGTGAATACAGCATACTATTGAACTGCTGCCATTTGATGTTTTTCATATTCTGTTCAACTCTTCCTCAGTGTTTAATCGCTAATCCTTCATGGAGAAAAAACTGTCTTTGACACACTTGTCGCACACTTTCAGTGCTACTCCAATGGTTATATCTGTCATGTGTGTTCATCTGCGTTTAGTGCCCCTGTTTTTCTGACTCTTTCTGGTTAGCAAGCCTTGGGCTACTGGTAGAATGGTTGCCATGGAGTTTTGACATCATTTCATAAATGAGAATAGATGAGTCTGGGAAGTCAATATGGGCTGGAGCTGCTGAAGGGTGTTAGGGGAAAAATGAACACCGCTCCATCGAAATAACCTCCACTTCCCCCTGAGTCACACATGCACACACACTCTAGGTTGCCCACACTGGTGCAGACAAATTTATCTGCTTGTGTTGGCACACATGCCTCCACAAGAGGCTCATTGAGGTAATCATCGAAAAGTCAGAAGTAAATAACATTAAAGGCCTTATCTGGTGAGGTGCTAGAAATGTACTGTGCACTTGTCACAGTGTGCTCACATATTGTGCCTGTTCTGGTAATGCTATTTATTCCATTGGCCTGCTGTCAGATAAAATGTTCTCTGCACTTGGGATGCTCTAACACCCCAAAACTCCCCTCATGAGCCACTAGTGACAACTCACAGAAAAGGATTAATGACAACAACAAAACAAAGAAAACTCATGTATCAGGTGTTTGATGCAGAACGGTTTAGAGAAGCTTTTCCGTTTGTTTAAGGATTTTTCATCAGTAGCTTTTAACACCACAGTGAAAAGTTTTCTTTTTACAGCCTGGTTAAGTAAGTCCCAGCCCTAGACAGAAATGATGCATTAGGTTCTTAGGCAGACAGTTACCAGTCAGCATACTGGGAGATTAATGGACAAACACACAGGAACAGCATGGAAGCAGTCTGGCCAAGGAGTGAGGGGGAAAAGATATGTGGAGGACATCAGTGACCCTCAGCGGAGATTTTAGTTGAAACTTCATGCATGAAATTAAACATGTTGATCTGCTTTTGGGGGGAAACATTTGTTCAGATGTTAATAATGTGGTTTGGGGGGAAAAGCGTTTTAAGAGACATTTAAAAGATGCATGAGATTGTGAAAAAAAATATTAATGTTTCACAACAAAAGTCAATTTATCGGTTAATTTCACTCAGCATTGTACCTGAAAAAAATAAGTATATAAATAAAAGGCCTGACTCAGCGAGGTTTAGTGTTAATTTTGGCCTCTATTTTAGATTCATAGTCTTAGTCTTTGGATTAAAATGCCTTTTAATCATTTTTGCCCTGAAGAGTTGTAGTCAACAAAAAGTGAAAACATTGTAGTCTAGTAGTAGTCAGTAAAAAAAAACTCATTACATTTTAATCATCAATACTTTTGGTCACATTTTCTTTCTTCAAACTGAATCTATCAATCAGAAATTCATCTCAAGGTAGCACAAGTGTTCAAAACTGCAGTGTTGCAGTCTCTTGACACTTGTGTAATATCTGGAGTCCTTTCCTCAGCTGGATAATTAATTTTCAGACTCTCCTACAATGCAGTGCTGCCTCTGCAAATCTGCTATGGTAATATATAGAGAACTGATTCTCTCTCCAAATCAAACATTTTTTTTCTGTGGCAATCATAGATATATTTATTTTTATTGACTTTTTGTGGGGTGGGGTTGTGGGGTCCAGACTAAGCCCTGTAAATACCCCTGGACTGACAGTCATTTCACTTCTCTCTCAGCCACATCTTCATCTTCAGAGATTTAAACTTTATCCTTATTTCCAAAAGTATGCAAAAGTGAGAAGGAAGCATGGAGCAGACAGTGCATTTGTTGCAGACGAGTGATAAAATAAATAAAGTGCCTCTAAAGTAACTCAGCCTGCCACTGTTAAACAATGCCCACATCTTGGGTTGGATGCACAGTAGAAAAATGATGGATTTAATACGTCTACAACAATCTTGCCTCATACTTGTCAAAATCTTTGTCAGTTTTTGCTAGTTTTGTGCTCGTATTAAAGAATTTAAAGGGATATTCCGGTGTAAAATTAAGTTAGTATCAAACACACCGTAACACCGAGTTAGACACCCTGTCGAGAATGAATGTTTATGATAATTTCTTCATGGAAATGCAGTCAGACTGAGAAGCTAAGGCAGAAGAACTACTGTGTCTGCAGTTCAAAATTATTAATCTGGTGATTATAACTTCACGGAAACGATAAAGTAATTATCTTAAATGTTCTTCCTTGAGCTGCGTCACCCCGCTGTAGTCCATAATAGACTGGCCCGGGGTATCACTACAAACAAGCAGCTGCTGGAAGAGAGCAGGTGAGTTGTGTTTAGTCTCTTTGAGCGTGTGGCTCCTTGAACCGCTGTATATTGCTATCATGCGGTCGCTACTAAAGTTGGTATAACTAGAGAAGCAAGGGGTTGTCAACATTCATCTCTTGAGGGGGTGTCTAACTCGATGTCATGGAGTGTTTGACCCTAAATTAATTTCATGCCGGAATATCCCTTTAACAATGGTCCAGCTTTAATGATTACATATTCAAATAAATAAATAAATTGTTATTTCGCTTTTTATTATTACCCTTCCTTTTTCAAAGTTATACAAGAGGTCTGGACAGACACCAAACAGCTCCTTCTTTGCAGAGTTTGAAAGGTTTCCCTGTTGTCACATAGGTTTTCTATAGGTACACCTCACGGACTGGACTGAAGACCTCGAACTGTCTTAAGGATACATCTGCACAAGATCTATCATCAACCAGTGGCCTGCCTGGCACCATCTACTTCCATTATTTACTTTACTTCTCAAGACACCAATGAAAAGCACAAAGCTGGTAGGAAAATCAATGATAAACGTGTGAAAGCTGTCATACACTCTCACTTCTTTGTTAAGAATTTGTGCCCTAGAAACCCCGAGCAACCGGGATGAATTTCATCTCAGAACAGAAAAGCACCATGTACCCACTCAGTCTTTCAATTTCATCTTTGTAGTTCTCCTTTTTGCAGATTATGCTCTGTACAAGTATGACAATACTGGAGAGCAGAAAATTAGCTTTTGACTAAGCAGACCTTATTTTCTCTCTTGCTTCTGAGACTGTAATGATCCAAACAAGACTCCTGACAAGAGTGAGTGTCTGTGGTTGTGAAGCGAGTGCTGTGAACAATGAAAAAAGAAAAATCTTAACTAGAACTGTTTGGCCCTGAGGAAGAAAAAAAATAAATAAATAAAACATGCAAATTTGTTTCTGTGCTTGTGCCACTTTTTTTTTCGGCATCAACTCAATATAATTCAGTACAAGAATCTAAAAAGATCTGTGCAAATCTGAGGGTGGTGCTCTTTTCTCAACCTCAACTGATCAAAAGTCAAGGAGGCTGTCTTGCCCTCTTCTTTCAACCTTTTCATATTTTTCTCCATCACGTAATTCTTTTCACCACTTATATGAATTCTCTTCTCTGTCTGCAGGTCTTCCTTTATTAAATGCCAGTAAGCGAGGTAGAGAGTGGGTGGCAGTGGTAATGAACTGTAATCCCTCTCTCCCATCCGTCCAAGCAACCCAATATACTCCTGAAAGGCGATTACTTGCATTTATTAATGCTCTTTGCATATACCCTTCATCATTACAGCTGGAGCTATTTCAATAATATAGTTTATACTGTCAGTAAAACCTAGATTTGAAATAAAACAGGAACATTAATCACACAAAAAACTGTTTAATTTAAAAACATATAGTTCTTTATTTACTCTTTCAATAACTCCTAGAGGAAATTGTGCCATATTTTTTTCTTAAACACTCTTTTACCAGAATATACTCTGCGATCATATCTTTCCTTTTTCCTTTGTCTATACGTCATGTCACAATCCACCACTTTTGTGATGTTATTAAACCTGCTAAGCCCACTTTTCTGGGCCCAAAGCCAATTAGCCATATTTAGAAGCAGAGTGCAGTTGAAGACTGCTGAAATGACACCAGCAATTTACAACAAGAGCTTCCTCAGTTGACATCTTGTTACCAAAGGGAATATTGAGAGATTTTTTTAATAAAGAAAGAAATGTTTATTCAACGACTGTCAGTCAAGACAGCTTTCTAATACTGCAAAACTTGTAACCTTCATATCTTCAAAATACATGTGTTGTAAAATAATCCACACCCCTGTAGGGTGAGTGGAAAAAGAGAAATGAGCTAGACATGCAACAACTGTTCTATGAATTAGCCTCTAGACATGTTGATTCTTGCTCTAAAGAGTTTTTTTTTTAAGCATATGTGTGTGGTTTTCACTTGGTTTTAACTGAGACTGGCTAGCAGACTTTTTTTTTTCTTTTTGGTGAACCGCTGTTGGATTAACAATTGAACCTCCTGTTTGGAACTTTTAGTCTGTGCTGACTATGGCGCCCCCTGTGGACATAACGGTTAACCTTGTATAATTGCAGATTTTTTCTCTACCTTGTGAAAGCTCAGTTATTTGGGAAACCAAATATCCTCTTATTGACAACTGGGAAAAAAATAAATAAATAAAGAATTAGGCTGTTCATTGAGCGTACTAACCTCTTTACAGCCGTTACAGGCCTTACTGATTACAACAAAGAGACTGTTTGTCTTGCCATCAATGGCCTCATTTGCTTTTGTGCATCATAGAGACACATGCTCATTTCAGCCGTTCATAACCGATTAAAAACTCCTCACAGGAGCTCCAAAATGTTTGAATACAATTTAATCAATATTTTTTGAATGGCAACTAGAATAAGCAAAAGTTACTGAAATAGCCCTGAGATTAAGGTGCAAAATCGCAGATTAGCTACATTATTATCTATATTGTCAATATTTTGAAATGCAAAAAATAATGGAATTTTATGTTTGTGAATTAAAGTGCAAATGAGCATGGTTCACAAGTAAAATACAGAGACTGATCAGGATTTCAAAAGAAAGACAATTTTTTTACAGCCGTGATATAATAAATAAATATGTATATATATGAGCAGTTTTAGGCAACACAAACAAAGTTGGCTAAATAAATGCTAACTCTGTTTCCATGGAACTCATCTTTGGAGTATCATTAAGGACTATTTTCAATTGAAGTACAACTTTAACACCTTATATTAAGTAAATAAAAAGAAGACACATGTGAATATTGTAACTGTGATGACTTCATTTTTACTCACTGTTTTTGTCATGGGCCGGATGCAAGGTTCTGTGCATTGAAAGTTGTATTCCCCAGCTTGACTATGTGCCAGAACATGTGAATTCCCCCCACAGACCAATAAAGATGCAGAGTTAGTGGTTTGAACAGGAACTTAAAGTAACATGAGAGGAGAAAAATAGAACAAAGGCATTGTTTTATCATTACAGTAAAGAGTCAGCAATACCATGCTAGCTCTGTCTGCAAGATTGTGCACAGAGTCTGAACAGTCAGGAGGAAAGGCAGAGAAGGAGCACATGGTGGTGCTTTGGATTAAATGTTAAAATATTAAAGGGGACGTCAGATCCCCATCGCTCCTGCTTTCAATCTCTACCCAAATTCGCCAAGGGGGCCTCGGGGGATGTGGGGCTGGACGTCGGGATGAAAACAGTCCTCAGAAGATATACATGAGGCAAGAGACAAACAAAGGGTGAGTGGAAGAGAAGATTGGTTCTGAGACGGCTGAAGTGAAGATGATTGATGTTAGATATTAAAAGAGTGAAAAGACGAAATAAATGACATGAGGTGTTAAAAAAATGAGGATGTCACTTGAAAGGTTTTCTGACTTAAAGTGGTGTTTTTAAAATGATTATAATAGAGTGGGAAGTAATGGTGAATGAGACCCGTTCACTTAATGTGTGAAAGAAAGCACTCGAGGCAATTCACGTATTTGTTCAAGTGATATTTGAATTAAGAGAATGAGATGTGTGACATTTGTTTCACAGTTAAGGGAGATGAATGGTAAAATATACATTATCGGCACAAATTCTGAGCCCTAATTTCTTTTAATTATGTTATTTTAATATTCGTTTTGGAATTTCTGCATCAACCCAGACATTTGGGATCAGTCAGGGGGTGTCTGGGTCGCTTAAATCCGGGCCGCCCAAAGCTGGCTGGAGGATCTCACCATATAAAGGCTAAGTTTTGTCTGAAAAGATCAAAAGGATGCCCTTAAGGAATTGACTGCTCCGAATGAAGCTTGAACCTTCAACCTTACTTAAAAAGTAAACAAGTGATGCAAGGCGCAATAGCATTTTAGGGTTGCCTGCAAAGGGGCAAGTAGACAGTAATGGAAAGTGTTCGTGTAGTCTAATTACAGGAGGTTACTTACTGTCTCTTTGAGTTTAATGAAGCTACACTGATTGATCAAACAGTAGATTACTGTGGCTCAGATTTACATAAAAGACAAATGCATGTGAAGTTTGCTCGAAAAAAAAGTATCATGAACAATAATATGAAGACATATAAGATCTTTTGTTTTATGTCTTCATGCTGTGGTACTTTTGTTCTTTTTTTTCCTTCAAACACAATCTCAGACTGGATATAGAAAAGCAATCTCTCAGCTAAGTGATTTGTGAAAAGTGTCACATTCTCACCTTGCAGTAATTGCCTGCTTGTGTCACTGAGCTGAAGTGATGGGTGCTTTTGAGGCAAGAGAGGACAGGCAGGCAGGTGAAGGGATCAGGGGAGGGGGACGACAATGACCAGCAAGAGAGATCTATTGCCGTGATTGAAAGGTGAGCATTCTTTCTCTTCCTATCTTTTTGTTTCTGCGCTCATATACCTCTCACCTGCCAGTGTCAGTGGGTTTAAACCTCTATCATCTGTGTACAAACGAAATTAAACTTGTCAATAAAGGTTTTAGTAGCACTTTCTATCTATCTATCTATCTATCTATCTATCTATCTATCTATCTATCTATCTATCTATCTATCTGTCTGTCATGCAACATTGGTGCTGAAACATTTAACCAATGCTCTGCACTTAGTGTTTTTAGCCAAATGCTAATTTGCATCACCTGTCTGCAAGAGGCTTTTGTAAATCATCCAAAAATAAGACTCAAAAAGACCAAGACAATACAAGAACAACACAGAAATGACGCAAAACTGACAAAAGCAGAAGTACAAAAACAGAGGGCTAAATACTGTGAAAAGTCGACTGACGTGTACACACATTTTAGGAGTGAGAATAGCGTTTTCTCTCTTCTAACAGGATTTTACACCTTTGTTGAAAACAACAAAGTTCTGTTGTAGTTCCAGCTTGGTTCAAAAAGTTTCAAAGTTTTCAAAGTTTTGAACTTAGAGAGGATTGTCTGTCCAAATGGTGTTTTGCACATTGTGATGCACCAGTTGCTGTAAAGTGTGTTGACTCTACTACCACCCTGCTGTCTGATGATAGATTTATTCAAAACAGACTGGCCAAGACCATACAATCATTTTTGTACAATCACTCTTTTACTGCCACTATTCCATGAAGAAGTTGCCAACCACCACCACCATTTTTGACCAAATTCCGTGAACTTTCAAGCTGCCAAAATTTTTTTATCATATTTTTCCAATTAAAATGTTTTTAATACAGGCATCAAAATAAAATTTACAAATAGAAACCCATTTTATTCTAAATTTTTCCATTCTTCTTCAATAAGTATCTATAAATTTGGTGATTGGTGGAGAAAATTATGTTATTGTTTTTCATAACAAAAGCATTTTTGTCACTTCAAAGCAGAAAACTAATAGGCTTCTTACATTTATTGATCTTCAGTGTTCAATGGGAAGACTCAAGCCAGAGTGCAAGATGTCAGTTGAAGCTCAATAGCTATCTTTGCTAATCACACAGGTGTAATGATGATAGTATCATCTGCAAGGCAACTCTCAGGTAGGTTGCTGGTATACAGAGTAAATAGAAGAGGACCTAGCACTGACCCCTAAGGAATTCCCATGCTGTTGGTGCAGTGGGTGGACTTTTCCCCCTTAACTTTGACACATCCAAAAATTCAAAACTACTGCAAAGCCTGATCAGAGAATTTTAATTTAAAAAGTTTAGATAGAAGCACTTTTATGAGGTTGCTCAGGCTTTGATTTGCATCAGGGTTTCTTTATCCCAGCAGTGAAACACAGGCGGATGCTAAAATAATTGTGATGTATTTAAATTCAATAAATAAGAGATATATTGACATTGAACATTAGAGTGGGAAAACATAAAAAACTGAGCTGTCTGCTCAGGGGAAAGTCAAGAGTTCAACACTGAAAGGTTTGGCATTTACTTAACGTAAATGATTTTCTTCAAAATGATTCATTGCTTACGTTTTTCTGTTTTTAAACTATTTGACAGGTTGTCCACTTCAGTACATTTTGAAAATCCAAGTCCAGACACTATATGCTTACAATATTTGTCTACACCGGCAGAAATGGCATTTCTTTGAGGAAAAAAAAAAGCAGAAATGAAAAACGTCCTTGAAACCAAAACTCAGTCATACTCTCTCAAGAAAACAATCTTGTCAAGCGATGAAGAATCTCTGCACTGCATGTAAATCTGATGACACTGAAGTCGTGAGCATATGTTTGTTAGCCAGTGCTAATGACCACTCTCTCCAAATCTCTCCAGTGTGATAGTCTCATGAGAGATATCCAGGGAAACAGCTCACATCCTTGATTTAGACACGTGGAGAGTGTTCGCAGGTGAGGAGCTCTTAGACACCTCTCCAGACAGGAGCGCAGAGACACATGCATGTCACACAGCACACACTTAAACACCTGACATGATCTTTACAAAGACTGAATCCCTTCTGAAAAAAACAAGCATATGGCCAGTGGATGAGGAAAGAGAACACAGAGTGACTGACAGAGCCAGAGTAGGCTCAGGTCATTGAGTTTAATCTACCTTTTATTAATCACCTAACTTAATTTGGCCTGACTTTAACCCTCCTCCTGTGTTAGGGTCTGCGCCGACCCATTTTTGTTTTTAAATGCTTAAAAGAACCACTTAAATTAGCTTTTTTGACTTTGTCAGGAAACTCTAAATAAAAAAATTGGCACTTGTCGTGTTAGGGTCGCTGTTGATCCGGTTAGATCAATATCTTATAATTAGAGAAAAAACTGAAATAATAAGTGCACTGTCAGGCACCACACTGACAGTCAGATCCTCTTCCAATCATGTGAGATTTAGGAAATTCTCATTTTTCCATGTTTTTCTCTGCACAAAAAACAACATCGGGCATGTCCAGACATGTGAGATCAGTTCAGTATAGATGTCTGTATGAGGATGAGGGGTATACTAACAAAGAAAAGCCCAGAGGACTACTACAAAAAAAAATTAAGCAATATTTTCATGGATAATGAAGCCTAACAAGGTAACCGAGAGATGAGAACCAAATTGGATGATAAAGAATCGTTTTTATTGTAATTTACAGCTGATTTAAGACACAGGTTGAAACCAACCCTTAACATGCTGGGTGCGTAGTTAAAGCTAAGGTTAAATAGAACAGAAATCCATTCATCCAAAAATTACCTATACCGCTTAGCACGTCTGGCAGCACAGGGGGCTGAAGCTAATCCCAGTCCCAGGGTACTACCTGTACAGGTCACCAGTCTATAGACAAACACGCAATCACACAATGAAGTGAAATTCATTACCCAAACTTTTAAGGTAGGTTAAAGGAGACATATTGTCTTCATCTTCTCTTTTGACGATGCCAGTCCGGGGCATCTTTACAGTAACTGGATGGTGTGCAGCTCAGAAAAGACTTTGTTTTGGCTGCTTTTCCAGTGATCTAACATCAGTCACAGATTGTGGGTGACCTTTTTTACATAGCTTTACGGTCTAGAAACAGCCTGTAAGGAGTTACTGCATGGAAAGTGTCTGAGGCCGGCTTTTGGCATTCACTAAGTCCTCTTTTTTGCCAGAGTAGCATTTGTTAGTGCAATCGTTACATTGCCTGCACTTATACTGTTACATACAGCTTGGGGTTCAGAGCCTTCATGAAAGGTCTATATAAATGGAACAGCCTCAGGTTTTAGTAATGACTCAGATGCAAATCCACCTTGTACTGATTGTTGTTTTCAAAGATGTCATTGTTAAAGTGGAGAAATTTGAACCAGAAACCTCATAATTTGTCCCACTGCACCACCATGCAGCCCTCAGCTGAAATGACATTTGAAGGAAAAGTGAATCCATTGAAAAGTCCTTATATCTTCAGGTCACAATGGGTTAGAGAAACCTGGTCAGGTGAAGGCCATGGAAAGTACCTCGGGGGGAAAAAAAGAAGAAAAAAAAAAAAAAACCTTGGAGGAAAAAAGAAAAAAAGGCAAGAGAAAACTCTTGTGGAGGATGGTAGAACCACCCTGAACCCTCCCAAAAGTCCTTGTACACACAAATAAAATCATTGTGTTAAAATCAAACAAAACTACAAAGTTAAATTAGAAAGGGAGCAGATACAAGTGCTAAAATAAAAAAGAAACATGCGTCAAAGTGGTCAGACCATCGAGTTTTCTTCAGTCTTTGCTGCAATGCATCAACTGGCGAGGTTTCAATCATATTTGTCTAAGCCTTAAATCTCAGTGGATTTCTTTTTGAGGAGAAAAGTGAATCTCTCTGCTTGTTTAGTGGTGAGTAAAACATAGAGAGGTCTCATAGAGGTGTAAAATCAAATCTTAGAAAACAGGTTAAAATGTTCATGAGTCTTTCAATTATTGGTCTAGGGACTAAACTAGTTCATGCGTTATGCATACTCTCATGCATAATGTACAGTTGGCAATGCAATGAGCAACAAAACTAAGCCATGGATTGTGGGACGTGAGCTGCTAGACAAGGAGAAATCCCTAAAACAAGTAATTAAGTAAGTTAGTTGGTAAACACTGAATAAACAAAGTCCTTATGGCACAGGTCAAAGCAGCTTGTGTGGACCCAGCATACAGGGAACAGAGGTCAAGGGGTCAAATCATTAAGCAACACTGGAGGAAGAAATGGCCAATCAAGCATTAAATTGCAACCAAAATTAAACACTGTTTGGAAATGATTATTTACAAGTACAAGTAACTTTAACAAAAATTACTTGAAAAAACAAAAACATTGGGCCAATATTCCAGCGTTTCTAGAAGCAACCTCTACAGCACTGTACAGAATAAGAATCTGTTTTTAGTCAGAAGGTTCTTTCCCATGTCTAGGGTGTTGTTTTCATTTGAGAACATAAATTAGCACCATCTTTAACAGACAAGTGTGAATGCTATGAATTAACATGCTATGAGAAAAAAAAATCTGTAAAAAAAAATGGAAAATAGAGGAGACAGGGAAAAGGAAAAGACAAGATAAAAACCTAATTGGTAGTCATGTTTCTTTTCATGTCTTTTGGGATATTCTGAGATAATCCATGTGATACTGTGAGTGTCGAAGAGTGTGTGGTTTTTTTTTCTTTGCTTTGGAATAAGTTGAAGACATTTTGGGAGCTGCTTCTCTTGTACATCTATAACCCTTTCGCTTATAGTGATTAGGATAATGATCTGCCGGTATCTTATGCCTAATTTAGCTTACATCCAGGAGAGCTTCATCAGGGATCAAATAGTCCAGTGCCTGTTCCTACTTCTATCCACATATAGATACTCATAAGCCAGCTGTTCATTGTTCTCTATCTGGCTCTACAAAAGGAGCATAATTTGTACCATCCTGAACAACCTTTACCTATACCCAGGAGGCGTCTCTGCAAAGCCCTCCAGTGTGATAACAAGTTTAAAAAGTAGTTTGGAACGTGTCTGGGTTTAGTGCAAAGACATATGGAGTGGGCCTTAGGGATACAAACATAATAAAGTAAAATGTGAAACTATGGCGCATGTATTTTTAATTACTCTGGCTGTGTCCACTGCTGTCAGCTTTGATCCAAAGGGCTTAACAGCAAAGCAGGCAGAACAAAGAAACTATGTACAGTTACAAAAGGCACAATTTTTTTTGGGAGGGACTCATAGTTCTGGGATGGGATCGCCACACTGAGGAATCCCCCAGGGGACTGCTATTTGGGCATTTTTTTTCTTTGGCATCATGAATATGGATGCTGAAGTTACAAAAAATGGAGCAACGGGTGGTATGGTAGGTGTAGGAGTCAAACATTCAATAGCAGCAGTTGTGTTTTTCTGTCACCCACTGATGAGATTACATAGTGTAATATAGTTTAGTGGATTCTGCATTAATTCTCTATTACCGATAACTTGAGAAAGTATGAATTTTGAGTACATGTTTTTTACAGTGATCTACTGTTATATTTTCTTGAATTAGCCTTGTCAGTCATCACATTAAGAGAATAGTGTTCCATGCTGACTGTAGTTTGTGTTGGTCTTCAGATGATGAAACTTTGAACTCTGAGGGCCTTTGAGTTATCGAAGAGTCCATAATTTTTCATCATTCAGGTTTCTTCTACCTTAACACTGTATGAATAGAAAACCATTAAATCAGTGATTTTTGTCACAATAACTGCCATCCTAAGACATTTTTCAGTCTAAGGAAACCAGGTAGGTATAGCAATTGTGAAGTCTCTATCTGAAAAAAAAAAGAAAGAAAAAAAGACAAATGGGTTAATTTCTTGGGGGCACCATTGAGACAATTTGTCGCACCCATGTGACAAACCCATAAACTACCAAATTTCCTGCAAGACCCAATGCACCTGCAAAAAAATCAAGAGTTTTTAAGTAGGATGAGGGCCCCTTAACTGCGATCATTCACAGAATGAAAGATTAATAATAATCCCAAGTATTTCAATAGGGCCTTTGCACCACTCAGTGCTCAGGCCCTGATAACTATCATTACCTTAAAAAGAGCTATTATTCAGAACTGCCTAACCATCTGTTTTCAACACATGCTCTCATCAGATTCGACCCAAATATCCTTCTAACTCTACTCACACAGCCATTTTTGCAAAGAAAGATAAAAATGTACCAGGCTGTAAGTGTTAATCACAGATTAATATTTAAAATGATTTCAGATCAGTTCATTTAAAGTGACTTCTGTTCAAGCACAAATTACAGACATTTGTGTATTTCTACAGCGTTGAAGAATCAGTCTTGGATCATAACACTGAAGGATCAGTCTTAATTGCAGTCCTTACATCTTTAACTGGAATCATTTACTGTCCAAGTTCAAGGGTTGTTTTGTAGACATGTTAGAGCCCGATATGTAACAATGACATGAAGTGTTATAAAAATAGATGTAATAAAGCTCGAAATGTAATAATTTGGTTCACTCGAAAGCCCAAACGTAACAAGTTGCTACATTTTGGGCAAAAAGTTGATACGTTTTGGGCTTAGCATCTTGTGACATTATCGACCAGTTACTACATTTCGGGTTCTATTATATTTTGGGTTATTGTTACATGTTGGGCTCTAACAAGGCAGTTGTTAAATTTGAAGTAAATAAGAAACAAAGCCAGCTTATCAGGTGGTAGATTTAATTAGTTAACTTATGAAATGATAATCACCTCCTGCAGACTTTGCTTTGTGTACTCCCTAGTCTTATTAATTAAGCAAATGATTATTTATGCAAAGAAACCCTGTGTCTCAAACTCCACAGGTCACTGTTTTTGGTTATTTGAAGGGATCTTTGTCAACTTCAGCTGCCTTTAATTTAAGCAGACATTCATTTTTCTCCCCTTTTTTGTCTTTATATTCCTTATTTTTTTAGCGTTCTACATCTTGTGACAATGTAAGACATAATAATGCTTTGAAGCACACTGCATCCTCTCACCAATGACAGTAACTTGAAAGGTCTGCTTACAATCAACATCTTCACAAGGAACCAGATTGAAAACTCTGGAGCGGACAGGGACTGAATAAAAAATGAAATACTGCCCATCCATTTACAGTAAACAGATAGCAATATCATCTCTCTGCTTTTCCTCCCCTGCTTGTTTTCTTGTTACTTTGCCACATGACTCACAGAGATTTATTTCAACTGCTTATTTTATCCACCACAGATGTCCCTTACTGGATGAGTTTCAAGTGTTTTAGAGACAAGATGGTATATTTTGTTCTACGGTCGTGATACGAGGATATTCGTTTTCGAGGAAGCCAGGGCAGAAACTAAAGGTTGACGTGTGTTCTCAAGCGCGCGCTGTTTGTGTGTCAGTAAACAGAGCATAGTATACTAAAATAACCAAGCTCTGTAAAACATGGGGTGGAGACATGCATAATGAGACAACAATAGACAGGCACTCATTTGAAAACATGCTAATCACAGATAGACAGACACACTTTGATACTGATATATGTGGTTTTATGAATATATATCGGCCTTTGAATGTGTCACAGTCAATCTTGTTTATTGTCAGAGTGCATTACAATGCAGGCTGTGGAGTTCAGCAAAGATGCATGGGACAGAGTTTGGGTTCAAATGAGACACTTAAATAGATGGACATACTTTAAACGCAGACTGGTGATGCAAAAGCACTCAGCAGTACCTAAATATGATCAACTTAGCATATCTATAGGATTTGTGTGTATGAGCATGAAGAGGGTTGTTTAGTCTGCGTTTTTATCTTACCTCCTGTTCATGTAGAGAGACGGGGGAAGAAAACATGACAAAGCAAAGTGTGCTGTGGAAGGAGAGTGAGCAAATAGAGCAAGACTGTCATAAATCAGATTTCTTATGAGTGAGACTTAGAAAAACCAATGCAGATAAAGACCTTGAAGAGGGGGGAATGCAATAAAAGAGAGAGAGTCATGATTAGAGAAGATGGGAAGGCATCTTAAAGCCCCCCTTAAAGCAAGCTTTATCGAGAGGGGATTAGTTATAGATCATTTTCTACAGTCGAGGCTTGAACTTTATGAATGTTTAAAGCTGCCAGCATCCCATCCATTAATCAGCCGCAGTCGCGTAGCTGAATGATGTCAACAAACATGACCCAAAATGTCTTTATTTCATAATGGAGGCTCAAATCAGATGCATAAAAGCATCCTTATTACTGAGCTGTCAACTACATCAAAGTCCCTTCCTAGACGCTCTAGAGTGTGCTGAGGAAGAAAACACAGAGAGACTGAGGAAGACAACACAGAGAGACTGAGGGAGGCCAGGGGGAAAAAAAATAAAGATGGACAATGCAAAACCCCCTCAAAGGTGGGGTAGGCAGGATCTGAGGAAGTGCCAGTTTTGGGGAGAAATCTTGAATGTAAACACTATCCCTCCCAAACCAGTTTTCCCCTCAGCTCCTCCTCTCCCCTCAGTCTCTGCTCAAGCAAGCCCCATCCATAAACAGACGCTTGTCTCCACTCCTATCGTTCCAATTAAATTCAGATATAATGCAGATAAATACTTCAGATAATTGAAAATGGGGCCCATTTAATGTGAAAGTAAAAAGCACTGGTGCTACTGTAGATGCCAACAGACTACCAGCAAACACAATGTTTGCAGGACTTCTACAACTAGGATAAAGTGACATAGTCCAGGACTTGACCCGGGCGCTACAACACGCAGCAGGTCCCGTTCAAAAGAAACACTTCCAGACACTTGACTTACTTTGTTAAAGCGGTTTACCTGTCCAGCAGAAAGGTTACAGGGTCCATAAGATCCCAAAGCCTCCCCCATCATTTAATCATTTACGTTGACCCTGCTTTTTAGCTCTTGTCCAGTCTACCTCCTTTTTAAGTGCTCGTTATTCCGCCAGAGTCTCCAGTATTTACTTTGTCAGAATCCTCCTTTGGCCACGACTGCCAACACAAGCAAGAAAACAATTTCACTTTCTGGCTGGTTTCTACTGTCCGATATTGTAGCATGTTAACTTTGTCTGGACTCGTGAACCACACGGGGGGAACAACGTCTGCCTCACAACCAATCAGCACTAAAGAGCAGAATCTGCCTCACTACCAATCAGGTTGGCGGAGGCAGAGAACGGCTTTGTTTACAATTAGAAAGAACGGGCCGCTCAAAAAATTTAAAATGTTGACTACACAGACACAGCGATATTGTGATATTCCCAAATGTCATCAATAACTAATGGCTATTGACTGATATTAAAAGCTTTTTTGTGTATACACCACAAAAAAGGTGCTTCTTTATCAGAACCCTGCCTACCCCACTTTTAAGGGTGCTTCAAATACAAGACTATTGTTACCTCAATCAGATTTGTTAGATACAAAGCCAAATCACTTTAGGCCATGTGGAGTGATGAGCTTCTGTGTTGATTAACTTCACTTAATTACTCATTATTTACTCTTCTAGAGATTGTAAAACAAGACACTTTTGACCGAAAAGCCATTGCTTTCTCTGACCTGCAGAAATATCTTATTCCTGATGGCCTTGTTTGGCTTTGCAGGCCATAAACTGTAGTGGCATTAAGATTAACATCCTCCTTATTCATAACAAGTTTAGAACTTTGTCCCTGTGTGCACAATGCCAGCTAAAATAGCATTGTAATTAAAGGATTCAAACGCCACCTTCCTCCCCAAGGAAAAAAGGATTTTCCACTCAGCAACTGATTGTCTCCAGAAATGTCAGCTAAAGGTTGGGAGAGGAAAAAATATGTACACCGAGACCAAAAAAGTGCTGAGGCAACCGTGTACTTTGATGAACAAGTCAGGATCTCAAAAAAAAAAAGTCACTGTATGTGTGGATGTTTGGGGGCATGAGTGTGCCAAGTCTTGATTCACTCAGAGCAGCTGAGTTTTATAGTCAGAGGGGTAAAATGATCACACACAACACATTCATCATATATTTACTCAAGGAGACACTTTTCAAAAACCATATGTCAGCTCAGTGTGCTGAGATGGGAAGTCACAGAAATAGAAGAAGTCAAAGGAAGGTGGAAAAGATGATCAAAGAAGATGGGAAAAGGTGTATGGTAGAGAGAGGGGGTAAAAAACTGTCAAATCATGAAATACTGCAGAAAACGTGACTTTTCAGAATGTCCATGGATCACTAAGGGTCTACAAATGCCTGCAAAGAGGAAAAAACCCACAATACAGAGTTTTTAAAGCAGAGAACAGAAGAGGCAGAAAATAAATATAAAAACCATGAAAATAAGTAAACCAGGATTAGAGGGACTAGAGAAAAAGTGGATAAGAAGATCTCAGACAATAACAAAAGTGAAATTGAAGGATTATGGAACACGCTGAACAGCATTATCAAAACTGGGTCAATACGAATGAGTTAGTACTTTATAAGTAACATGGAGTAACTTTATCAGTTTGTTTATCTATTTATTTATTGGTTATTGTCGGACCTGACCTAGCATGAAAAGTCCCTGATTGGAGGACAGCTGAAAATCTGGAAAAAAATCATTAATATAAATTTGGGCTCCATATTCCTCACAGCAATATATGCAAAGGAAATTGTTGATATTGTTATGAAATGCAAAAAAACAAAAAGTCTTTTGATTCTCAGTGACATTGATACGTAGACAAAAAGTCACAGACAGAATCATAAAACCATCAACATACTGTATATCTGCAATTTATCATTTATCAAAGGAATCACAAACTCTATAGACCAGGAAAATCATGCAGATGGGATATTCATCGGCCTTCGACACAATGAACCATAGTTTACTGGTTTATGTACTGGGAACAGTTTGGCATCAGGGGTGTTGTGTTGAACTGGATCAAGAGTTACTTTGAAAACAAAAAAAAAACTGTTTGTGAAGTTGGGAGATTGTTGCTCACCATGTTTGGAAATTGTTTGAGGTGTTCCCCAGGGGTCAGTGCTGGGAACTAAATTATTCATGTGATATATTTATGATTTATGTAAAGTATAAAATGTACTGTAACTTGTTTTGTTTGTAGATGACTCAAACATGTTTTGTTCTAGTGGTAAACTGAATAATTTTCTGGAGGAAGTCACCTCAGAAATTAGCAAATGAAAGACATGGTTCAACAGTTAACAGTTAGTCCTTCAGCTTGGACAAAACAAAACTAATGTTTTGGGAAACTATGGATTAAATACAAAAGGAATGAGTCAACATACAGTAGATGTCATAAAATAAAATTTCTTGGGGCTACAATAGATGAAAAACTAGAATCACATATTAATCATTTACAATGCAAAATGTCAAGGACATAGCAGTGTTAAAAAAGGTTACACAGGTTCTACATCTTAAATCACTCCATATTCTCTGTTGCTCTAGTTTCAGTTACCACTCAAAGGTTTGGGGCAATAACTACCAAAACACACTAAATTTGCTATTTTTCAGCAAAAAAGGAGCTTTACAGATCATTCACAGTGTTGGGAATCAGGACCATATGAAATGTATTATTCTTGCAGTCAAAAACATACAAACTTGCAGATTTGATAAACTTTCAGACAGCATTTATCATGTTTTTAAAGCAAAAACTAAATCGCTACTTGGAAAAAATTCAAAAAATGTTCGCTGATAGGGCGGTTTGTTATGATTTAAGGGGATTACTTAATTTCAAAACTGTCAGGGTGCACACTACCAGGAAAAGTTTCTGTGTTTCTGTTTGTGAGGTGAAGCTCTGGAACAGTTTAATGAGGAACTCGGGAGGTGTGTAAATATAAAAACTGTTTTAAAAAAAGCTACAAAAGATACAATTTCCACAAGGTACAGGAATGGGGATATTTGATTATCTCTGGGTGCTCACTTATTATTTATTTGGTTTTGGTAAGTTCTGTAGATAAGAATGCACATTTCGAATTATGTTTAAACAGTATGGGGGATGTAAAAACCAATTAAACTAAATATCATTCAATTTTAAAATACAGAAAAAAAACCACCTAGAATAACAGAGAATTGATGTTTTTGTTTTCATGAAACAAATATATGAATGAAACAATAAGTATTATTTTGATACTACTATCACGACCCCTAAGCCTTGTGACATTCCCTTTACACTTTGTTTTTATCCCTCCAGTGAAAACTGTTCTTTTTCTCCCTCTCTTGCTTCTGATTACGCCTTTATGAATTTGAAACCATTCATGTATTTAAATACACCTTTGTCGTTCCATCTGTTTCCCCCCCTCCTCCTTCTTTTGAACTCCTCTATTGTTTCAACCTGTCATCTCCATTCCTCTTTAAGTTTGGTTATGCTTTATGGGTGCAGTTGCCAAGAATGAATCTGACATAATCCGAGCTTGAAATATTGTTCCTGTCCCTTTTTATCCCACCATGTGTGTTTTCACAGCGATCATCCTTTTCTCATTAGCTTTTTCCCCTCATTCTCTTTCCATCTGTGCACCTCTTTGTACCTTTTGTCTCCACCTGCTCACTGCCTCTGCCTCTCCTTTCTACTTTTGTTTACTTGGAGGGGATTCAAAACAGGCGGAGGGAGTAAAAGGGGGCTGGCACTCGGGTTGTGATGGGTTGATTTGTCTCATTGGTGCTGATTGTAATCAATTAGGGTGTGCTGCTCATTAGAGCTAGACTTGGATCATTATGGAGACAGCATCTGCTGCCTGTACACACATTGACTAACTACAGCAACGCCAGACCACATCAATGCCAGACACTTAGATCTGTCATAATAGCTCATGAGAGTAAGACAACAAACGCAGTAACATCACCTAAAGAGGTGTGTTGATATTTTGACTACAAGAACTGGGCGTCAAATTTATGGATCTATGGACGAGAGCAAATTCAAGTTTATGATGTCTACAATTTAATTATGGCACAAGTCTGAGTGTACTTGCCTCTACACAGTGCTGCACAATAAATCTGATAAATACCCCTTTTATTCCTTCAGTCTGTCCACCGTACTAGACACACACACACTCACTCACTCACTCACACACACCGATTGTCTGCCCAGTTGTCTGTGCCTGACCACACACAGAGTAAAGCTGTAGATTGTAGCAAAGGTTAACACGGGCCACCGGTGCTTAGAAATGATATGCTGCCCGGTCAAGGTCAGAGCTGACACCCACACCCACACACAAAGGCATGCATTAACAACAGCTAAAGGCTTACCAATATGCACAAAAGCAAAGAATTGCATAAACACACCTGCGCATACACACAAGTGAGGGTTGAAACCTTAGCTCATAAATCAGTGAGGCTGCAGTGCAAGCATCTAAAAGGACCAGATCACATGCTTTAAATATATGCAGCCTTTATGAGATCCAGTATTCCAGGGGGTCAAAAAGGGGAGACACTGGGTTACAGCAGGAAAGTGAATGTTGTACAGTACGTCACCCTCTGGGGACGCTCTCTTTATATTTATATCCTTACCTCTGTCTTCTGCTCTTTGTCCCTGCATAACTTCTGTCGTTTTTAGAGGTCACATCATTTCTCAGTCCTACAGCGCGCTGAATCCAGGCAGCCTTGTGGACTATCAGCTAAAACAAGCTACAAGAGAAAGACAAAAGTGAAGACGATTTATGAAAAATATTGCGCTTTGATTTTCTGGTAACACTTTACAATAACCATAACTTATAAATGGTAAATAGACCATTTATCAATGGTAAGCAGATAGTTTATTAATGTTTAATCATCATTTATAAATAGCATATAGACCATTAATAAACATTTTACAATTTTAAAAACCTAACCCCAACCCAAACTCTACAATAACCATCTAAGTAATGTTTATAGGTGGTTTATAAACCAATTATTAATTGTTTACAAAGTATTACAAACATCAGTTGCAACTTTACAATAACCATCTAAGTAAAAACCAAATATGAACCATTTACAAAGTGCTACCGACACAAATTTAAATCTAGATGTTTTACAACCAATATTTAAACCCTTCTGCTTCTTCTGCTGCCATGGGAAGAGGACCAAACACTGATCTGGTTTCACTGAGTGGTTCAGCCTCGAACTAACCTCTTCTTAGCACACAGTGCATACTGCCCATAGCTTGTTAGTATGGAGCTTATAAAGAAAACTTGACTGTAAATCTCTACTAAAGTAAATCTTCAGTGAAGGAAGATTACCTTGAACTTACAAAGCTCTCAGTCAGAAGAGCAGGAAGCCCCATCAAGTTGTACAAACATACATGTATGGACTTTAAAAATGGCACGCCTGACACTTCTCACTGTTTGTGTGTTGCGGCCACAGATATGGAAATCTGCATTTGTAAAACTACCTTAAGAACTGAGGGAAATCTTGAACTGGTAATTTGGCCCTGTCAGCTCCAAACACTGACAGCATAGGAACCCCTTGCAGAGTATAATTCATTGATGTATTACACTTGACCACAAACATAGAAACACTGCTCAGTTGTGAAGATGTCAAATAGTAATTCAAGACTTTCCTCCTGTCTTGTCTTTTCTAAATGTTAATGTAATACATGAGGCACACTATGTGTGTTGTTTGCTGCCTCTTAAAGAAAACATGTGATGTACAGCGTATGTATTTTCTATGTTCAAGCATGTGGGTGTTTAGTCACAAAATCCACATGCAGTTGAAAGATTTCTATCTCCAAGGTTCACAAGAGAGGGAGAGTGAACCGAAGCTGTGAAAGAGAAGAACGGTTACATGTGTACACATTTGTGTTCCTCTGTCAGCAGCTGATAAACCCAATGACAGCATGAGGGCAGAGAGGTTAGGCCTGTCTTCAGTAAATTACTCTCTTCCTAGATCCAGGGGTTTTGTGTGTGTGTGAGTGAGTGTGTGTGTGTGTGTTTAAGTGGCACACACACAGTAATAGCCCTCAAGGTTAATTGACCACAAGCGGAGCACTTGTTCTTCCAAATAGACATCCAGGGTTAGGGTCTCCCTCCCCCCGCTCCCCCTCCCCTGACCTACGCAAGATATCATTATCAGCCCTCGCTGTCATTCGTTCTCTCTCCCTTTTTCAGCTTTCCCCGAACAGAAATACACAGAAACAGAACCAACTCCAGAGTGTGTGCAAGCTCTTTTAAAAACCAAAGTGTACACATGTAAAGAGTTACCAAGATTCAGAGGGACTGAAGGGTCTTATAGAAAGACACTCTGTAGCTTGTACACAAGGTACCTGATACTACAGAACACAGTGGAACAGTTTAGTGTTCATTCTCTTGTTGCTTTAAATTACTTTACCAATGCTATACTATGCTGCTATACAAGGCTAGACTATGCATTGTGTTGATGAGTTGTATATTTCATGCAAAGTCAACTCAGCCGGTCCTGGGAAAAAGGATAAATGCTGCATTCCAGTTGTACTTAGAAGTCAGGATTTCCGAGTCGGAAATTCATCTGGAATGCCCCCCAGAAGTCAGACTTCTGACTCGGAAAGTCAACAGTAAAGAGTAACAGTAAAAGCTCTTGTAATATATTATTTATTAGCACTTCTGTTTGGTTTTTGTGAAATTAAATAAGTGGTATATGTTGTAATGCCCAACGTAAATACGGTGCTATGGTGTTTGTAAGAGTAAAATACTGTGGTATATGTTGTTTACAACTAGCCTGGCTGAGCCTTCCTGTTGCGTGAATCACTTGATGTTCCTTCCCAAAACAGTCTGGGCTTCGGCCCATTGGGAGCGTGTATTCCTGATCAGAAAATAACTGGGCCAATCAGAGACTGTGTTTTCACTGTTACCCGGACAACAGGGAAAGGCAGCCCCTGATTGGTCCATGTACTACTGTAACCAATCACCGTAACCAAGCATCTGTGATGATGTCAGATGCTTGGTTACGGTGATTGGTTACAGTAGTCTGTCTATCAGACTACTCCCGCCCACTTTCAGGGCTTCCAATAGGCCGAAGTCCAGACTGTTGTGGGAAGGAACGTCAAGTGATTCACGCAACAGGATGGCCCAGCCAGGCTAGTTTACAACTGGTAAAGCTAACAACAACTAACAACAACAACAGCTGACAACAGCTAACAACAGCTGACAATTGTAAACAACAGCTAACAACAGCTAACTGTAGGCGTCCATCTTGGTTTTCTAACTTGTTAACTGGAACGCCGTCAACTCTGTGTAGCATCATTCCCAGCTCCAACATCCGACTTCGGAGGTAACTAGAAAAGAGTGTTCATCATAGACTAAAAAGGAAAGTCAGCCATCTTTTACGGTTTCTTTAGACCCTTTTAGTGGTCATATAGTATGATGTCTTTTGTCGGGCCTTAACCAAAGGCTTAACAATCCTTTAGACACTTTAACTTGCTCGAGCCAGCTGGTTCATCTTGGCTTCAATGGCAGTAGATAACACAGGCCTCTTTTTAATGTGCTGCTATTTATTCTCTGTTAACTTAATGAGTTAACACCGACCGATGGGAGCTGACTGGCTGACCCTTATGCCCTGCAGATGATTTCAGACTGCCAAAGGTTAAATGAGCGGACAGTTGCTCTTATCTAATAGAAAAAAAATAAATTGCTGTGATGTGCTGGGCTGTTTTCACCACATGTACTTGGTGTGATGGCTGAGTTGAACTCTTGTCAACCTGTAAAAAGTTAAAACTCATTGTGAGATTGACCTTCACACCATACATATTTTTCACACACGTTTGTGTATTCCAACAGTTTTTTTTTTTTTCTTTTTGTATCCAAGCCAGAGTACAACTCTTGATGTGACTCCCACAGCTTTGCTCAGTTAGCAACAGTGGCTAATCATGGCAAATGAGAGCTAGCAGGGAGGCTTGATCGGTGCAAGTTGGCATTAACTGGTGCATTAGCAAGTGTTGGGCAATTACTTTAATGATGTAAATTGGACTGAGATTTCCTCTGCACAGGAAGTGAACAAGAGAAATGTAACAATGATTACAATGATTATGATTAGGCAGCTAATTATAGTGTCAGCTCAATGCATCACATATGCATCGACAGACTGTTTATTTAGAAAATCGTCAGGGATGCTCGGTGTCTGCACTGATTGCACTTTGGTGCATGTGCATGTGTGTGTGTGTGTGTGTGTGTGTGCGAGCACTGGCATTATTTTGACAGTCATTTGAGTGAAAATGTTGCTTGAGGATGTGTTGACTTTTCAGTCTTGGATATGTTAGCTGGTGGTACCATTTAACACAAAACACTGTGTTAGTTGAGCACAGACTGCAAAATCTTTGCCCTTATTTCCTTCTGTTACAATTGTAACATTTCAGCTGGTCAGCTGTTGCTATCTACATTTACAGAATAGTATAGATTTTATTATCGACAGAGTTTCCCTAAAACATCTTGACTGAGTATAATGAACCCCTTACATTATAGCCCCCCCCCCTCTCTGGTTTTTAAACATCTTTTGTAAATTCCCCATTCGTGTTGCTCTATACGGCACATATGCTGTTTTCCAATTTACTATAAAATTTTAACAGCTGTGATTTTAAAACCAGAGGGCTGGTGTGATCTCTGTATCCAGTATAATTGGATAATAAATATTGGATAATATCCAGTCTTTTTTGTTATTTGCAGATTTTTTGTAGATTGGACCTGTATGTGTTTTACCAGTAATCCAGTAAAAGAGGTGTGGCAGGATCATAGAGCAGTAGAGAGTGTGTAATGATTTTTGTGGTGATAAACACTTTGATTTACTGATTATTACAATACTTATTGAAATTTTGGTAACACTTTAGTTGACGCCTATCTCTATAACGCATTATTGCATTATAATCATGTTATAGCACTGTATAACTATAGTTATAAACACTCATAAATGATCATAAGGCTTTATTGCAATAATCATGACACATTATAAAGCATTTTATCATGACTTACAAGGTCAGATATAAGAATGTGTTATAACTGTTAACAACTCACTGACAATGTCCACATAGATAATGTATTATACATATATTTATGATGTGTTATAATTTGCTTATAAACCCAACTATCATTATAAACACTTATTAATTATTATAAGGCTTTATAACAATAAACATAACACATTCTAATACCTGACCTTGTAAGTCATGATAAAATGCTTTATAATGTGTTATGATTATTGCTATAAAGCATTATGATCATTTATGAGTGTTTATAGCTATAGTTATACAGTGCTATAATGTGGTTGTAACGCATTATATATTCATAATGGGTTAAAAGAGATAAGCGTCAAGTAAATTGTCACTGAAATTTTTGAACACAGATATTTTATAAATGGTTTTCAGTAGAACTACCCAAAAACTTTCTTACATATCAAAGTGGTACACCCCAGCGTCTGCACTTTTGCCAACCACAGGGACATCATGAGCTCGTCTAAAGGATACAACTGTGATGTCACCTCCATGTGGAAGTAGTTTGTTCAAAAGAAATGTCTGTGTATTGGTTTGCCTTGACTACTGATTACTCAAAAGCTCTCTAGGCAAGCTGAAAACAGTGACACTACCACCAACTCACTGAAAAATGCATTTGCACCATCTCTGCTGCTATTTCTGGTGCTATTTCAACTTGACACTGTGATGAGCACAGCTGTTTGGATTTTAGATATTTGGGCTTCACATGGTTGACTGGAAACTGTTACTACATGAGTCAGTAAACACACTCTGTACAGGGATAGCTAGCTGAAGCTGTATTCGAAATGACAAGGGTGCAGACACAGGTCATACATGAAATGCCACTGCAACATTTTTTAACAGAAAGCACAATTTTTACTGAAAAAAAGAGAAAAAGTTGAGTACTCTAAGTATGTGTTCAGTGCAAGTATATCAGGGCAAGTATAGGGCCAAGGTTTAAATTAAAATCTGGTACTTTGCATTTGCCTGGAGGAAAAATGCTTGGCGAGGAAATACACTTGTTTTCTATCAAAAAAGGACAAAATGTAAACCAGCTGTGTTTGTGTGGGTACAGGACCCCAAGCGATCACTGGCTGTTTTATTATTTTTTTAACAACATCTCTAACCTTGTCGGGAGGTGGGGGACAAATGCTTTGTGATTGCCTCTGTTGCTCTGCATGTTTCTATGTTAGGCTGGCAGTGCCTCTGGGCCTCAGCAGGCGGCTGCTTTAGGCCTGCTGGTCTGCCCAAAGTGATGCTGAAAAGTAAAACCAGACTGGGACAACCAAAGGAGAACACACCCCCAGACAGATTGGCAAGCAGGAACACTCACACAGTACAGGACAAAAGATAAGCAGGCTGGCATGTGCACAAATCCCAAAGACTATGTCCTTCCCTCACTCCATTATTTCCCTTCTCCCATTTGTCCCTCATCCCTCTTTCCCGTGTTTGCAGAGGAACAATAGATGGGAGAAAGGTAAAGATTGGGCAGCTAGGAGTTAAAAGAGGAGGGGAAAGTGCACGGGGTGATGCTGGGAGAAGTAGTGGCAAAGGGGATCAGTAAGGAAGGAGAATTAAATGTGTAAAAGAAGAGAGAAGCAGCGAGGAGGAGAGGGCATTACGAGGACATGCCTGAAGGACATGAAGCAATAGTAAAGAGGCAACTGGTTTTTAGTATGCTGCTCACAAAGAGCTCTGTCTGAGTGAGGAGCTGTGTGTGCGTAATGCATGTAATGACATGTTACCTTGGGTTTGATTTTTTTTCCCTCTTTTATTTCGGTGCATTTCAGTGTCTTTTGTGTTCCTACCTGAGTACATGCACAAGTTAAAAGCTATGCGCCTGTATATATTCATCACACAACAATTTATGTTGCATTTTCTGTCTTTATGTAACTTGCAAATGCACTAAGACCTGCCCCCTGTATCTGAGAATCTGTTTTATTATTAGTTGAGAAAAATTAGGCTCACAGAAGTCCATAATTGCTGCTGTATAAATATGTGTTAAAGGGTGTTGACATGCTCTTGGCTACCTTTAAAGCAGATTAAAAGGACAGGGAGCCTGACCTTGTTGTTCCAGACTGGGCATCAGTGACAGAACAAGAGTGCACCATGTCCCCCTTGGTGTGAGCCAATCCTGGGTTAGCCCACCATCCAGTGACCCATCTGCAGGGGGATCAGGCTTAAAGTGTCACTGCAGGGTAATTGGCCTGTCTGTCTCCTGGTCTGCTGGTCACCACACATACAAAGTCTGACACCACACAAATAGTTCTCTCCTTCACTGGGTCATTGAAATACACGTGAGGAAGTGAGTACCTACAGTAGGAGTAAATGAACTGCACTTTTAACTTGCAGAAAGACAGACACAACAAAACAAATCAGGACATAAAAGACAAACACCCAGGAACACAAGAGACCCTGACTGAAACAATGGTTTTTGAAGTGTGGTAACTGTGAGTAGAACTTACACTACACCTCAGATATTCTGAGATCCACATTTCACGTCAACAAGAGACCCAGCGATCTCACGTTAAACAACTTGACCTTTTGTGACCCCCTTTTTATTCTGTTTCCTTTCAAAGTTAGATACACGCTGCTCATGGGATAATTGCTCATCTCTGAATGTGCCAGATTAGCTGACCTCATAAAACAATAGCACTAGAGAAGAGTCAGAAAGGAATTAGACGCTCCAAATGAGTTTTTATTTTGGGCAACATCCATTAGTTATGAAGTGAATTGTATGCCAATGGTGCCTGTGTCTGGGCGATGTCAGAAGGTCATGATGAAGTCAGGCCTCACAAGATGTCAAAGAGCAATTAAAGGCTTGATGTCATGGTTGAGCTAAGGATACATCATTCAAAACTGCTGCCTTATAAAAGGGAAAGCTTGCAGTGGATATGGAAAAAAATGCTGGACTTAAGTTGGTTTTTAGCTAAACTAGGCCTCTTTCTCCATATAAGGTTGGAAATGACTGGTTTGCTCAAGTACTCAGTGTGATAACTCTAGATTAAAGGCAGTATTTCTCAAAGCCTAACTTTACCATGCTGTTACCAGACTGACAACCTGAGATAAGGTTGGTTATCAGAAGCAAAAATGGCAACCAAGGTGGGATTTGGATCATCTGTTGTAGATACACTATGGTCTGGTATTCAGTTGATGGCATTAGCTGTTCCCACTAAGCTACTACTTTTTAGCCCTGACTATGATAACATAACACAACAAGACAAAACATGATAAAACATGACATAACATAACAAGACAAAACACGACATGATGTAACATGACAAAACATAAGACATAACATGACAAAACAAAACAAAACGTAAGGTGACTTAACATGACAAGACATAACTTGACAAACCATAACGTGACATAACTTAAGACAAAACATGACATAGCACAACATAACAGAACATAACATAGCTTAACATAACAAGACAAAACATGTCATAACATAACATAACAAGACATAACATAAAATAGCAAGACATAACATAAGACAAAACATGACATAACATTCTGTATTATCACAGTATGTAACGCCATGCAAAGTAATGTAAACTCTAACATGACACAATACAACCTTGTTTATTAATTTAAAAAAATCATTTTATTTAGTGTTTTATGTCCCTCTAAAAGAACACAGAGATCAAGGCTTTATTCCTGATGAGATTTTTCTGTTTTGCTTAAGATGTCTGCATTTACAGTACTAGAGGACAGGCACTAAGCACAGATCATATCATCAGATCATTTATAGTGCAACACACACCTCTGAGAGAGATATTAGAGCGCAGGCAGGCTTGTTTATAGGTAGGCTGCTGTTGGTAGAAAAAAAAAGCTTCATAAGGCAAAAGACAAAGGATAGGAACAAAGCTCAATAACCAGCAAGGACTGACTGCAGTCGAGTAAACAAAGGAATTGTTCGAATTGTAAAGGTGATGAATGTAGTAATGGCATGTGGGGAAATGGGTGGGGAAAGTCAGGAAACTGCAGGGCTGAAAGCAACAGGAGACAACTTTGCACTAAAGGAAACAAAGGGTCTAAGGGTGTCTGGAAGGTAGAGTGAGGGAAACCAGGGAGACACTGAGGCACTGAATACTCTCAGGTTCTGAAGAAAACGGACCAGGACTGGCTAATTCTGTGCTAATTATTTAAAAATTTAGAAGTGCTAGCTGAATGACCAAAACCTTCATACAGTTTCTTAAGTCAAGCCTCTTCTGTAAACTCTAAACATTTAATCAGTGTAATGATGGCACAAACTAGATGTCGCAGTGTACCTTCATAATTCAAGTTATCCTTATATTTAAAGGCTTCAATATCCTCATACGGAGTGTTTAAAATCACTTGTTTGATAAGAATTTTAAACACACCTCTGATTGGCAATCTGTGTTGGAATTGACCTTTGACTTAATAATAGACAATTCACTTAAAGGTTGATACAGTTGAAAATCTTTGAGATTAAACCAAGAAATATATGAGAATAGAAGTAAATATATAAGAATAAAGTCAAAACTTAACAAAATTTAATCTGTGATATGTGATTTGGGGTGAGTGGTTGGGTGGGGGCTAATACTCGGCGCGTAGCCTACGGTGCAGTGCCTGTGTGCACCACACATACTGATACAAACTGAATCCAAGAAAGGGCAACGTAAAAAAACAAATAAAAAAAAAACAGTTTTAAAAAAAAACAATAAAAAAAAAAAAAAAAAATTTTAACTTCATATTTTGGTCTTAACCAAAAGTTGAAGTTAAAATTGCATCAGGGAGGAGTTATCTGAAAGTAGCAAAGATATCCTTCGCCTGTGTTTGCACCCTGACCCTCATCAACGTCCCTCTCTGAAACAGCTCCGTTTCCATCCATGGCTACAATAAGCCATCCCTCACCCTCTGAACCGCATGTCTAACCTGCATCCTTCATCCATCCCAGAGTGGTACTTTTTGAAATGCTGGGAAAAAAAATAAAATAAAAAATCACACCAAAAAGAAAAAAATACATATTTATATAATAATAATAATAATAATAATAATAATAATAATAATAATAATAATAATAATAATAAATTAAAAAAAAAAAAAGTTGAAGTTAAAATTGTTTTTTTTTAAAGTGCCTCACATGTGAGGTCATCGATGACCTCATCAATGACCTCATCGATGACCTCACATGTGAGGACATCAAAGCCTCGATGTGAGGTCATCGATGACCTCACACGTTCTAACAGACTGAGGCAAGAATTTAAACCTCCAACCTTAAGTGCTGGTAAACTCTCCACCACAAGACTCAAGACTTCTCTGCAAGATCAAGTCATGTCAGGTCAAGTTACATCAAGTTCAGTCATGTTGAATAACTACGTTAAAAAGGTCTTCCTTTGCAATGCTCAAAAGTCTGCAAAGTTATATCTCACCGATCAGCCTGTAGCTGGTTGGCGAACAGGTAAGAGACACACCCTGAAAACCTAAACATGAGCTTTAACTCACTATTAAGAAAAAGTTCTAAAACTAAACGTTGTCTATACTCCAGTAACATATTATATAAACATAAAACATTTTTCAAGCAAATCCCTAAAAATATTGTCCTAGGTTACACTTTTTTTTGCCTTCTGAAATTTTTTAATTGCACTTTTTAACATATCCTGTACATTTTTTCCCCCCACAATTGTAGAATACAGCAGCCACATCAGCAATTTCACAGAGTCAGGAGATGCTAGCATCTTTCAGTCTGGCTCTGGAAGCACAGGGTCCAGGAAGAGAAAACTTCCTCAAGAAGAAGAGGACACAAGGAAGAGGAAGAGGACTTCTACACCTAACCCTTCAGAGGAGGGTGTAGTTGTTAACTCAAGAAAGAGGAAAGCAAGTGAGGAGCAAGTACGACCATCAAAAAAGAGGAGACAAGAGGAAGCCAGCTGGCAGGAGTTTGAGACCAAATACTGTCAACAGCACCCACTACGTGAAGGAGGCTTCGGCTCTGTCTATGCTGGATTTAGAAGAGCAGACCTTTTTCCAGTTGCCATTAAACACATAAGCAGAGAAAACGTCATAAGTAAAGGCGTCTCAGTGAACGGCAAGGTGCTCCCTGCAGAGGTGGCTTTTATGTTAAGGATCAGAGATGCAGAAGGGAGTGTTTCCCTTTTGGATTTTTATGATCTTGACCAGGAGCTCATTCTAGTCCTTGAGCGTCTGGACCCCTGTGCTGACCTCCTAGATTACATCACTGACAGAGGAGGCTTTCTGCAAGAAGAGGATGCAAAAATCATTTTAAAGCAGGTTGTCAAAGCAGCGAGGGAGCTTCAAACCAAGAGGATCTTCCACCGGGACATCAAGATAGAGAACATCCTCATTGGAACGGGTACTGCAGTCCCACAAGCAAAACTGATTGACTTTGGTCTCAGCTGCATCACCACGAAGAAGTCCACCTATTCAACGTTTTATGGAACGTCAGCCCACATCCCACCTGAGTGGTATCGGTCCTGTAAATATAGGGCTGGTCCCACCACAGTGTGGCAACTTGGAGTGGTACTTTTTGAAATGCTACACGGAGGGATATTTGAAACCACCAGCTACATGGACAACAAAATTAACATCAGGGAGGAGTTATCTGAAAGTAGCAAAGATATCCTTCGCCTGTGTTTGCACCCTGACCCTCATCAACGTCCCTCTCTGAAACAGCTCCGTTTCCATCCATGGCTACAATAAGCCATCCCTCACCCTCTGAACCGCATGTCTAACCTGCATCCTTCATCCATCCCAGAGTGGTACTTTTTGAAATGCTGGGAAAAAAAAATTAAATAAAAAATCACACCAAAAAGAAAAAAATACATATTTATATAATAATAATAATAATAATAATAATAATAATAAATAAAAAAACAAAAAAAAAGTTGAAGTTAAAATTGTTTTTTTTTTAAAGTGCCTCACATGTGAGGTCATCGATGACCTCATCAATGACCTCATCGATGACCTCACATGTGAGGACATCAAAGCCTCGATGTGAGGTCATCGATGACCTCACACGTTCTAACAGACTGAGGCAAGAATTTAAACCTCCAACCTTAAGTGCTGGTAAACTCTCCACCACAAGACTCAAGACTCAAGACTTCTCTGCAAGATCAAGTCATGTCAGGTCAAGTTACATCAAGTTCAGTCATGTTGAATAACTACGTTAAAAAGGTCTTCCTTTGCAATGCTCAAAAGTCTGCAAAGTTATATCTCACCGATCAGCCTGTAGCTGGTTGGCGAACAGGTAAGAGACACACCCTGAAAACCTAAACATGAGCTTTAACTCACTATTAAGAAAAAGTTCTAAAACTAAACGTTGTCTATACTCCAGTAACATATTATATAAACATAAAACATTTTTCAAGCAAATCCCTAAAAATATTGTCCTAGGTTACACTTTTTTTTGCCTTCTGAAATTTTTAATTGCACTTTTTAACATATCCTGTACATTTTTTCCCCCCACAATTGTAGAATACAGCAGCCACATCAGCAATTTCACAGAGTCAGGAGATGCTAGCATCTTTCAGTCTGGCTCTGGAAGCACAGGGTCCAGGAAGAGAAAACTTCCTCAAGAAGAAGAGGACACAAGGAAGAGGAAGAGGACTTCTACACCTAACCCTTCAGAGGAGGGTGTAGTTGTTAACTCAAGAAAGAGGAAAGCAAGTGAGGAGCAAGTACGACCATCAAAAAAGAGGAGACAAGAGGAAGCCAGCTGGCAGGAGTTTGAGACCAAATACTGTCAACAGCACCCACTAGGTGAAGGAGGCTTCGGCTCTGTCTATGCTGGATTTAGAAGAGCAGACCTTTTTCCAGTTGCCATTAAACACATAAGCAGAGAAAACGTCATAAGTAAAGGCGTCTCAGTGAACGGCAAGGTGCTCCCTGCAGAGGTGGCTTTTATGTTAAGGATCAGAGATGCAGAAGGGAGTGTTTCCCTTTTGGATTTTTATGATCTTGACCAGGAGCTCATTCTAGTCCTTGAGCGTCTGGACCCCTGTGCTGACCTCCTAGATTACATCACTGACAGAGGAGGCTTTCTGCAAGAAGAGGATGCAAAAATCATTTTAAAGCAGGTTGTCAAAGCAGCGAGGGAGCTTCAAACCAAGAGGATCTTCCACCGGGACATCAAGATAGAGAACATCCTCATTGGAACGGGTACTGCAGTCCCACAAGCAAAACTGATTGACTTTGGTCTCAGCTGCATCACCACGAAGAAGTCCACCTATTCAACGTTTTATGGAACGTCAGCCCACATCCCACCTGAGTGGTATCAGTCCTGTAAATATAGTGCTGGTCCCACCACAGTGTGGCAACTTGGAGTGGTACTTTTTGAAATGCTACACGGAGGGATATTTGAAACCACCAGCTACATGGACAACAAAATTAACATCAGGGAGAAGTTATCTGAAAGCAGCAAAGATATCCTTCGCCTGTGTTTGCACCCTGACCCTCATCAACGTCCCTCTCTGAAACAGCTCCGTTTCCATCCATGGCTACAATAAGCCATCCCTCACCCTCTGAACCGCATGTCTAACCTGCATCCTTCATCCATCCCAGAGTGGTACTTTTTGAAATGCTGGGAAAAAATAAAAAATAAAAAATCACACCAAAAAGAAAAAAATACATATTTATATCATAATAATAATAATAATAATAATAATAATAATAATAATAATAATAATAATAATAATAAATAAAAATAAAAAATAAAAACTCAGTAACTCCGCCAAATTGACTCAATTGGGTCATTTTTGCCGGTCCCAAGCCCGGACAAAGGAGGAGGGCTGGTTTTGTGACATAAAAAAAAAAACAAGGATCCACAGAAGAAAGTTTATTTGTAAACATATATATATATACATATATATATACATATATATATATATATAAATATATATATATACACACATATATATATATATTTATATATAAATATATATACACATACATACATATATAAATACATATACATATATACATTATATATATATTAGTCACTTTTTGTCTCTCCCACAACATTGTTCCTCTCCCTCTGTGGGAGAGGAACAACAGCGTCTATTTCAATTTGGTCAGTTATGCAAATTAGGTAATGACGTCATTTAGCGACTCTTGCGACTTTTAGGACAGCCAATAGCTACTTTCCTTACTAAAGAGTTGGCAACACTGGAGACAGAAATACTCTGCAAGTTGGCTATCTTTCTTCTGATGGATTAGAGTATGAATGGTCAATGTGGAGAGAAAAAAAAGAATAAAGATGTGCAAGAAAAGGAAAGAGACAGATAGAAAAAATTGGATTCTTGGAAAGATGGCAGCTAAATGAAGCTGTAGAGTATAGTGTAGATGGAGTATGGTCTCAGACACAAGGTAATTATTTCCTGGTTGGTGGAAGGAAAGGAGCAAGGGCTCCTTCATTAACTGGCTGTTCGTTACTGATGGATGAATGAACACACCTACACATGCAGAGGTGCACTTCCATTAGATACACAACCTTATGCAACAGAATAAAAATATATTCACAACCATTTAATCAGTCTATTTTTGTCTTGAATGAGCTTTGAGTTTGTTACAAAATGTTGATTCGGTGTTGTAGACGTGAAAGCTATGAGAATGTTCATTGTGCTCTCCAAATGATGATACAAACATAAAAAAACACTTCAGATTAAAATTAAATTACAGATTCATTTTAGCAGGCAGTGATGGAGGTTTTATATCATATCAAAGCTCAACATTTTGGTAAATAAAGGAAGAAAGCAAATCTGACTCTGTAAAAAGGAAACGTTTGCCATTTATTGCCAGATGACCGTTGACAGATTTTAAAAATTGCGCAAGAGCCCTCTGATTGAAAAAAGCAGCACCAGTAAACATATATATTTATCTATCTATAAACCTATTTTGCCTTTGATATAATGTTTCATCAGATTATGCCGTTCTAATATTATTAAGGGGCTGCAGCATTTAAAAACTGCATCTCAAGCCAAACTGTGTCACAGCAGTGGGTTTAAGGCTGTCCCATTTCAAAAGCTTCTCCATATGCAGCCTTCAAATGTGTCTTACTTTTCTCAGTCCATGAACACTGCAGCAGGCGCATCCTTGGTGGCCTAACTTATCCTGTGATTCTTTGCACACTTATACATTGGAGATCAGAAGACTCTTCATTCATCCACCACGGACCTGTGCAACTATGTTATTGTTTTCTCTCGATGAGAGACAGTTTTTGTTGGCAGAAAACACAATGTAACCAGTAAGTACACACACACTCCTAACAATTGTTGTATTTTCCTGCTACGTTATGTGAGCAGTTGTTTTATGGTTATCAGGGCAATCTCCACTTGGTAGTGTTTAAGTCGCAAGTGTGCGATGTATTGAGTAGTTGTCATGACAAGGACATTGTTGCAAAGGGTTGTTGTGGCCGAGTGGTTAAGGCGATGGACTAGAAATCCATTGGGGTCTCCCCGCGCAGGTTCGAATCCTGCCAACAACGGTTAATGTCTTGTGAATTTCCCAGTTTGGGATCAATAAAGTATATCTATCTATGACAACCTGGGCAGTGGGGGTTTTCCTGGAAGACACTGTTCAGTAGAAAAAGTCTTAGCATCCTACCATTGGAAAACTGTATGGGACCCTAACCCTTCACTTGCTCATATGGCCCACCTAAGACTGGACAGTTGAGTTTCCAGGTCTAGATGGACACCTGGTCTTGGTCCACCATGCTTATGTGGCTGACAGGCATGAGGCTTTTCTCAACTTAGGCCCTGAAAACTTTGCTAAAATTGCTGACAAAGCTGACTACAAGAGGGGCGGGGGGTCACCAAATGCATGCAACTGCTGTTGATTGGGACAACAACACAGACTGGGAAAAGTACGTTTTGTCTGTGACCTATGCTATCAGGGATACATTTCTGATGAAAGTGGACTTCCAGCGCTTGCTGAAAGTCTGTGTTCTCCATTCTGGATAGGAGAGACCAGCAGGTGGGTGGGGAGATGATGACTTGCCTTTTGAAAATGTTTTCGAAATGGCCTTCAGAGAAGTACTTAAGGTGTGGTGGCTTTCACTTAGCCATGGCAGTGCGCCCTGATCAATAACATGTAGAGGAAACTTTTGATAATTTTGGGCTATTTTAGCCTGCATATTGTTTTGAAGGGGGAGGAGCAGAAATGTAGCCAGCTGCCTGGACTGAAATTAGAAAGCAGTAAGTTTCTTTTAAAGTCAAACTTTAGTTTCGGTTTCAGTTCACAAATAACTGAATCTTCTTTCTTTTAGCACATCAGAATCCACTTGATTGGTCCAGTATGAGTGCGCATACAAAGAATTTCCTTCAGCTAAACTGGTTCTGGCATGATTTAAAGGTCTACTTTGTATCATGGTCTGAAGAAATGTTTCAGGAAAAAAAAAAAAGGGATAGTGGAAGTGACCCGTCTGGTGTGATGACACTTTCTATATGCATACAGACATCTTCACTAAGTTTGATCTTATAAGAGCTTAGCTGTGCTATAAAATACATGGATCCTAAACTCTGCAATTAATTATACAACTAACTTTCCACCTGTACTGAGACCAAAGATTGTTGGGGTCACATGCTGAACCAGCACACTACAAGACATATGCCCAATTATAAATTAAGATGACTAAATTAACACATACGGTTTAAACTCAACTTTTACACTTAGGAACTAACCGTCCCTCCAATCAAGAAAATTAGTCATATCTCTACATGTTAAACTTACTCTTAAATGTCATAAGGGATTCCTCAGTACAAGGAGAGGGACTGTGGTAAATATAAATGCTGGCTGCAGACAGGTTTTTGGCAGACTGTAGGGGGTCTACAGGTCAGAATCAAAATCAGATTGAGAATCACAATGATTTTATACCAAACTGGGAAATTAGCAGCATTTTCAGAGTGAGCCAGAATTTTTGTCATTTTGTAGTTTATGTTATTGTGTGTGGTTTTTTTGTGCTTGTTTAGAGAGGACAGGAAAGTGGATGGAGCATAAAACTGGAGAGAGCAGGAAAGGAGCCACAAGCTGAAACTGTTCCATCTGCAAGAGGCCTAACCTCTGTATCTGTGGCGTTCACTTAAACCAGTAAGCCAGCAGCGCTCCATATCCTATTAACTCAAATAGCATTGTTTTTTGTAAGTTAAAAAGATTTATGATTTACAATTTTTCTAACTGTCTCTATAATGCATTAAAAATACATGTACAATGTTTTATAATCAGGTTATAGCACTGTATAACTATAATTATAAACACTCATAAATGATCATCATGCTTTATAGCAATAATCAAAACACATTATAAGGCATTTTATCACAACTTAAAAGGTCAGGTCCTCATAATGTGTTATGCTTATTGTTATAAAGCCTCATGATAATTAATGATTGTTTATAATGATATTTATAAGTTTATAGGTAAATTATAACTCATCATAAATGTATGATGCATTATCTATGTGGGCATTGCCAGTGAGTTGTTAACAGTTATAACAAATTATAATATCTGACCTTGTAAGTCATGATAAAATGCCTTATAATTTGCTATGATCATTGCGATAAAGCATTATGATCATTTATGAGTGTTTATAACTATAGTTATACAGTGCTATAACCTGATTATAAAACATTGTACATATATTTATAATGCATTATAGAGATAGGCATCAAGTAAAGTGTTTCCAAAAGCCACCTAAGACTGAAACCCATGAATAGGATTTTGATTTATTTCCCAAACTGTCTGTGATCTTGTCCATGTTTGAGGGACATTTTAAGGATACAGTAGATCACACAGTTCTTTTAGTCTAAAGCACCTTGTAGGCCTCTCTGGTACTGCCTTTCAGTGGTTTAACTGCTATCTCACAGATCGAAAGTTTCTTGTAAGTTTGGACACATGCTCCTCAAAGATTCATAGCATTAAATGTGGTGTGCCCCAGGGCTCAATTTTAGGCCCCTTACTATTTGATTTATATACGCTCCCACTAGGAGATGTCATCAGGAGGCATGGTATCACTTTTTACAGCTATGCTGATGACACACAGCTGTACATGTCCATGTCTCCTGATGACACAGGGCCAATTAATGCACTTTTTATCTTTATCCTAAACATTAAATCCTGGATGGCAGAAAACTTCCTACAGCTCAACCAGGACAAAACTGAGGTTTTAATTATCAAGCCTAAGATGCATGTTCAATTAAAAAGACCAATTTATTGTGAAATCGGACTGTGGGCCACAACCATCAAAAAGGACTTGTGTTACAGTGCAGTTTGTAGTATTACACCAAATAATTGTATTTTCCAGGGAGTAGGTCCCTTATTCCCTAACCACTTAACAGAAATAGGTTCAAGGCAGTTCACGCCTCGACGAGTTGAGCAGCCCATGAAGTGGACAATAGTCTTCCAAAACAAGTTTACAAACCCAAAGATATAGACTGTGATGGAGAGGCTCTTGCCACACTGCCCCCTCACACATGAGGGCTTTGAAAGTTGTAGAGGTGTAAGCCCAGCACGGGGGGGCACTTAGTGGATCATCACTAAAAATAGGGGTAGCTCTAGCTCAAGTTAACAATATATAGTGCTTAAAAAAGTTTTTTGAAATCCTTTTTTTTCCCAAAGAGACTGTAGGCGGAACGCTCAACAGAGCATATGTCCAGTTTACTTTACTGATGAAAGATACCAATGAAACTCCAGTGAAGTCAGTCATGATAATACAAAGAGAACGTTTAAACTTCTTTTTTCCTTTTAACCATTGCTCTAATCTTTACAAGTGTGACTTCAGAGTCCAGAGGGAACCTTCACTGCTAGTGGCAGCATTACAGAACTGTTGTTATCTGCTGATTGCCTTGTCTTGTAGTTCATATACTGGGCAATCGATGCTGCTGTCCCTGCACCCAAGTGGAATATCAATGATATGCAAAACACCGGCTGGACCCTGTGTGTCGCACTGTGTGTGTGTGTGTTGTGGGTCTGTTTGTCAGTGAGTGTGTATCAACAGCCATAAAGAGTCCACATCAATGTCACATCACCAAAATGCGAAGCGGAAGTTGTATTTTTGCTCTCAAGAAGAGCTCTGAAAAGAAAAGTCAAGCATCCCCCCCTGTGACCACATGGACAGGACAAAGAGGTTTTGATACTTGTACTGGTTGGTTTGGCTGACTGCATGATGAGGGATAAGAAAAAAACTGCATTCCCAGCAGCTGAAAAGGAGTATCTTCTGCACTGCATACTTCTTCTTATTCATATACAAGTTCCAAAAAGTTTAATCCATTTCTGCCTAACTACTACAACACCATGATTCTGTCTAAAGATCACAGGCGTTTTAACAGATTTATGATATTTTTTATGACACACAATTCACTCATTAAGGTGAAGATCAGTTCTTTTGGGACAACCTGTTCTTTGCTGAATACAGCAAATAAGCAGTACATCAGATAATTAGACTTTAAAATTAACACTTCAAAGTGTCTCATTTTCAGGTCAAAGAGAATATTTGACTTTAAGGGATTGATTAATGTTATACACTGTGTGCATGATCATGATAAATATTAATTCTATTCTGTTTCATAACCAGGAGCACTTAAACAACACTCGGTTTCACTTATTTGTAGTTTCAACTCTGATGACCCTTTGGATACACATGATGACGGCCAGTCAATTCAGGAGAAAGCGGTAATATTATCCTTACGGAAACTTCTTTGCCCTCAAATGGTCAGAGAATGCCTGCTTCTTGAGGTGCTGACTGATGAGTTTTCAGAGCTATTCATGTGATTTACTCAGCAGTTTTGATTAAAAAGTAATAAATAAACAGCATTTGCAGAAAAATGATTAAACAACAAGGTCAGCGGGGTATAACTGTGGGTAGAAAAGATAGCTAAGAAGCAATAAAAGCAGTAGATTTCTATAAAGACATTGCAAGAACAAAGCTAAAAATGATGTCTGCAAAATTGGTGGCTGGGGGAAAGCAGGAGTGAAGTCAAGGGATTTAAAGATCCAGAAGAGGGGCTTCTGAATGAAGAGTGAATTGGCAATTGGGATGAGGATGTGTGAAGAAAAGCCTGCATGTAGCCGCAGAGCAGCTGAAGTGACTGTGTGTTTTGGGGCCACAGGGCTGAATGAGAGTGAGTGTACGCTCCTTTATGTGTGTGTGTGTATGAGGGGAAGTTGTAGTTACAGGTTAGTGGAAAACCCTCAATGGTTCAATTACACAGCCTTGTATAACCTGGGGGGACTGTTTGATAGGTCTATTAGCTCATAGTCAAGGCACCAATGCTACCAATGGGACCGTACACACTTGCACACCCAAGCACAGACACCAACACCTACACTCACATGCACACTAAAAGACACTCACCAAAAACAACACTTTCTGGAGTTTACAGAGTGCACCATAATGCTGAGTGACAAAATTAAAGTACTTAGTTATATATATTGTTTTATTGCTGATGCACGAGGTGCTGCTCCTCTGAATACTTCAGAAATGCTAAAACTAAAAATGTTCCAGTTTAGTTTTTTTCTGCCACAACATACTAAAGTATCTGTCTGTCTGTCAATATCCCTCTTATGCCAGCATGCATGTTGTTTACTCATGCTTAAGTTAAATTTAAACTTTTTATTCATTGCCAAAATGATGTTCAGGTTTCCCTCATTTCCGATGCGGTCGCTTGTACATGTACATCGAAAAAAATAAAAAATAAAATCAGGCAAAAAAAAAAAAAAACTATTGAAATAATTTTTACATGTTTTGTTGAAGCAAAGTGGTGAGAGATCAAAAGTCCCCTACCCCAAGAGAGAAGAAAACTTCACTCTTTACAGTTAGTTGAAGGGTTTTCCATGTTTAACACGCATCAGAAGAAAATGCAGATTTACGCAGTTCAGAAGACGCTCCAAGGATTTTGAGTGCAAGCCAACTTGCAGAATGAGTCAAGTAGGTTTCATTTAACAAGTTTGTTATGTAAGTAGGTAGCTAACCTTGAAATGATAAACATACCAATGTTGTGCCTGCTGTTCAACAGAATGCCAACCAGCAGCCGCACAGAGGACACAACAGTGGGTGTCCTCTTACTATGAATCTGGAAGAAGGACAATTTCAAGCGTCCAATAGCTTAAGAAGTTACCCTGAAGCATGTCTATGAATTACATCACCAGCATCCAACACAGGCAGTATGTTTACATGAATTATTGCCTTACTCCGATTAAGACCGGACAACTTACGTGCATGTAAACACCTTAGTCCGACTATAAACAGAGTTTAAGAACTTCAATTGGACTCGGAGATCTCTGATTAAAACACCCAGATAATGCGATTGCAATTCGATTTTCTCTACCATGTAACCAGCGTAGTCGGAGTATGATTGGACAATGCATGAGCATGTGCACCACGCCTCTGTAGCCCAGGAACAAAAACACCAGAGAAGAAGTGGCACTATCATTTAAAGAACTTTCGACACAGAAGCAACTGCAACATGGCTGAAGCACAAAAGAATGTCCACTTTTGGAACCTCGAGGAGAGTGCCGTCATGCTTTCTGTCCTGACAGAAATGGACATTTTAAAGTATATGGACGGTCGCAAAATGAGGGACAGACACATCTTTAAAAAAGGTCTGGAAACAGCACCGCTGAAAAGACCCATGTTGCCCCCTAGTTTTGGGGAGGAGGACATGTTCACATCAATAATTCGATTTTCTCAGCTGCATGTATACACGGACCAGAAGAGAAGTTCGATTCGGCAAAAAAAGCAAATTATGAGCTTAGTCCGATTAAGCTGTGCATGTAAACGCACTGAATGATTCTCCTCCGATCAGATAATGGGACCCTTTTTTCATTAAATCTCTTGCCAAGATATTTAGACAATGGGCTCTATTTTAGTGCCCTCCAGCGGCGCAGCGGACAGTGGTGTGTATACATATATATATATATATATATATATATATATATATATATATTTCTGACAATAAGATGCTGGATTGAGATCAATTTTGAGTTTTCATTTCACTTTCATGTGTTCATACAACCTCTAAATGAGGGTAGTATATAGCAACTTTGGTTTATTTCATTCCTACATACTTTATCCACCTCCCCCTTGCTAGTGTCCATATTCCATGGTTCCCCTGCCAAGGCCACAGCATGTTTAGTCTCATAACCAAGCTAAGTCCATCCACCAGGTCCTCACTTTTGAGCTTCCTCCCCGTCTGATTCAGGTGAGGATGTTCTCTCCAATTAGGTCCCAGAATTTTCCAAATCTGGCATATTATTGAGGGATCTTTGGGGAAAGATTAGTCTATCAACACCTCAGGGTGACAATGACAAAGAAACTGCTCAACCATAATGAAGCAATTCATTCAGAGACTAAAATACTCATGCTCAATGTAATCTAATTAAAAAATGCTGGGAGAAAAGAAGTCCTATCACATTTATTATCTGGGAATGCAAAACACCCTCAAACATATTAAAACAGCTATTTATTTTTTTTTAAGAGACTCACATTGATGTCAGCGAAGCTCATACTTGGTCATTCTGAGCGTAGCAAGGCCACAATATTGATAGTTCTTTTTAACAGGGTGAGCCTTTGTAAAATTCCAACAAATTATGGTGAAAAAGTCAATTTATGAATATGAGTCTAGATATGATAAAACTTTGAGAGTTTGCCGCATAATAAAGTTCCAGACTTGACAAAATAGATCATGAAATCTAAACGAATGATTCAAGCGCGTGCTATGTATAATTTGTAGCTCTTTATATAAATTATAGTATATGATAGTTTCTATATCTTGGTCAACTTGCACAACATCCCTTGCTTTTTTGCATGTAGAGAGGTACTTATTTTTACCCCTACATAATCTTAGGGAACTCAAGGTGCCAGTCATTGAATTTAATCAGCTCCAGTTCATACAAAATAGCATGGAGAGGTCGGTCATAAAAATGGAAGAAAAAAAATCTGTATTTGTACTAGAAGAAAATTCTACCCCTGAATTTCCATTTCTCATTTACATTTTTTCTTCGGTTTGAAATGAGGGGAATTTTATGCAGCCATGCACTTTGCCATCTTGCGCATAGATTTTACTGCTTTAGAAATATGTCACTGCAAGGCAGGCTTTCCCCTCCTGACTCTCACCCCATGTTTCTTTGATAATATGAGTGGAGTCTCAAATGACTTGACAAATGGAGTAAATGTTTGAGTATGCAGGAGAAAATCATGAATCAAATTTGTCTGCGTAACTCTTATTTTCCCTATATTATGCCCTGTAATTCAAATTTGGTAAAACAGCATTTGGTTTAACCTGATATTTTTTATGTATGGAGTGCAGTCAGGTTGTTTTTATACCACAGCAGAAATCTGGTCTGATCCTATGCTGTCATTCTGAGCAATTTCAAAATGGACTCAAACAGGAGCACAGTCGAAAGAGCAGCTAATTTACCTGTTTTGGAGTGGGCTGTTTGATCCACAGCTCTTCTTTCTGTTTGTGAAAGTCGCTCTAGAAAATAAAAAAAGAAAATTACTGCTGGCACTACCTGCTCACTCTCCTCAGGAAGACTGTATGAATCAAGTGTTTTGAATCAGAGCAATACAATAATCTATATACCCCAAAGCCTGTAAATACACTACTGCTGTGTGACTGCAAGGATGTATTTACAGCTACTTATTTTTATAGATTGTCTTAACTTCAGAATCAGAATCAGCTGTGCGCCCAAATATACATACAAGGAATTTGACTGGTAAACTTTGCCCTCTCTACAAATATTAAACATGAAATGTTACAAAAATAATAATGTCTGTTCTTTTTAATAAGGTTATCTTTTAATATGTGACTAGGATAGCTTCTTCATATTTTACTGGTCTATCATCAGTCAGAACTGTATTTCTCCATCGTGCAGTAAAGTGCAAACTAAATTTTTCACAATAAAAAAGAAAAACTGGACTGACTCATGTAGGGCTGCAGCTATCGATTATTTTAGTAATCGAGTACTCTATCGATTAATCTGTCGATTAATCGAGTAATCGGATAAGAAATGTTTTGCTCTCACTGTAATACTTTGCATTGAATCACGTTTGCCTCATTAAAAACCATCAGTAACACACAAAACTGAAATAGGCCAGGTCTTTCAAATGAATATTTTTACTGCATAGTCACAACAAATAAAATGATCCATCTGTAACACTCAAAAAAAACAGTATACAAGCCTAGCTTAGTCCTAACTGAATTGGCATCATTGAAAAATTGTGTTACAGTATATTTTTGTCAGGAACAGATGTAAAAACAAGAAAAACAGCATTTAACGGTTGAAAAATGAAACGCTGTTTTTAAATGTACCCATGCAGTGATGAGAAGGTGCATCAATATTGAACATGTGTGTAATTTGCCCATATTCCAACTGAAAAATAGCAGATAAATCTGCTGTATATATCTGAAAAATATATATCTGCAAAAGTTTAAATATAGGCCAAAAACAGATGCTCAACCTTTTAGGCTGATATCACCCTATATTGATAGCAAATAGATAGTATTTCACACCCTTATTAAACATAAAATAAATCTCAAATAAAATAAAAGTGCAGTAAGTGCCACTGGCATTTTACATTCTAGCTTTTACAGAAGAATAACAACTTTGAAATTCAAAGGCATGTTGTCTATATAACAAAAAACACATTTAGTGCATTCAAGTGTTACACACTTATTGGTTTTAAAAGGAGAAAACTTTGACTTGCAAAAAAACATTTTAAATGACCTTTTTCAATAAAGGTATAAATGCAACCTAAAACAAAGGCACAGGAACAAGAACTGCTTTAAGCTGTGCAAGTCTCGGGCGTAACATAAGTCCTTACTGCCCTCCTTGAAGGCTCCTTGGTCATTAAGCAAATGAATAAGATTGCATGTGTTTTCCCAAGTTTTTAAAGAAGTCTGTGGTTGAAATGAAGAAAAGTAAGCATGTCAACATGCTCAGAACTGAGGCTTGCCCTGCGCTTTGATGCAATGTTTCCTGCTGCTGAAAACAGACGTTCTGATGGTGTAGATGTTGCCGGGATACACAGAAAGGTCTTTGCCAGCTTTGACAGAAGTGGATAGCGTACTTCATTTCTTTTCCACCACAACAGCGGATTCTCTTTCCTGGAAAGGGGATGTTCTCCAAAGTACATCAAGACTTCCTTCTGCACATTTTGGGTTAACTTCTGCTCCTCCTCTTCCTCATCACTGGTGCTGGAGTCTGATGATCCCAGTAAGTGTTCAATGAATGATGCACCACCTTTGGGATATGTTTCCAGGTTGTCCTGTGCTGTGTTGAGGGCATCATTTTCACTTGCATTTGTCTGTCCTGCTTCTCTGCTGATAGCAGTTGCCATGTTTTGTACTGTGCTTTGAACTTTGAATATTTCGTCGGAGGCTAGGAACTTAAGTCTCCTAAACCTTGGATCCAGGGCAGCAGCGAGGAGGACAGTGTTTGGAGATTCAGGCTGAAACACAGACAGCCCCTGCCATCTTTCTGTGATCTGTTCTGTTGCATGGGTCTGGTAAGACTGGACTACTGACGTCTCAAAAGCTAAACTTTGAATCGACTTCTTCAGGCTTAGCACTAGCTGTGGAAGTGCAGAGAGGGTTACATACTCTTGCCCACTGAGAAACACTGAAGCTGTTTCAAATGGCTTGAGAGCCTGGCTCAGCTCCTCAATCATGTTCCACTGTTCAGGCTTGAGATCAAGGTAGTGTTTACCTCTTGGTGTCACTGCAGGATCGGACAAAGCAGCAGTCACTGGCCATCTCTGCTCCAGCAGCCTAGACAGCATGTAAAAAGTACTGTTCCAGCGAGTACTTACATCTTGAACCAGCATGTGCTCTGGTGTGCCCATTTGCTGCTGCTTGTTCTTCAGCTTAGTGCATGCCAGTTCGCTCTTCTTAAAATGTTCAACAAGCGATCTTGCTGCAGCTACGCACTTGGAGATTGCTGGATTGTTTTTCAGAGCACTTTGCACCACCAAGTTTATAGTGTGACCTGCACATCGCACTGATGCCCATCCATGCTTTTCGGTCAAAATCTTAACCGCTGCGACAATGTTGGCACCGTTGTCATGGACAACAGCTTTGATCTTCTTCGGTGGAATGTCAAATTTGGCAATGACGTCCTCAAGCCACTCTGCAATATTTGCAGCTGTGTGTCTCTCTTCCAGATGCATTGTTGTCAGGCTATGGGACTTCACTTCCCAATCCTCTCCAAGAAAGTGACCCGTCACCCCTAGATAAGCCTCTGTAGCAACACTGGTCCAAATGTCAGCTGTGAGAGCAATGCTGTCACACTTTTTAAGAATGTTCGTCAACTTGGCTTTGATTTCTTCATACTTCTTCTCCATCAATTTTGTAAAGTAGGTTCTTGAGGGAAGTGTGTACTTGGGATTGAAAGTAGAAATCATCTTCTGAAATCCCTCATCCTCCACCATGGAAAGCGGGCGCATGTCTGAGACAATCATGTTCAGAATACTGTCGGTGAACTCAGCTGCTTGCTCGGTTGAACACGGTGGAGGTCGCCGCACAAAGCTGTCCAGAGTTTGGCTCTTTGAAGAACTGAAAAAGAGTCCAATTGATATTGATATTAACATATGTCTAATGGTGTAAACATTTTATAACTTTTTTTTAGTTTGTTCTGTTTATATTGTTTATGAAGTTCTATTTTTTCTCTGGATCATTATCTTGTTTTTTTAGTAAAGTTTTGAGTTTGGTTATTTTATTTGGCTTTTACTTATCTTGCGAAATTACTAAAAAAAATAATATCATACTCAGATACTACAATAAGTCAGCTAGTTAATGCACATTAATCCAATAGTGTAAATAGTTTTGAACTTTATAAGTTTGTTCTATTTATATTGTTTCTTAAGTTCTCTTTGTTTTCTCTGGGCCATATCTTGCTTTTTAGTAAGTTTTTTTTAGTTTGGTTATTTTTGTATTAATTGTATTCATATTAATTGAGTTCATTCTTATGTCTATTCACAGCCTTTGCTGCTAAGAAAACGCTAATTTCCATACTGCAGATCTAATTCATCTTGTTTAATTTCTAAAAAATGTATATACACTTTTATATACTAAGACAATTCAACTAGCCCATGCACATTTATTTGATGGTGGAAATATTTTTTTAACTTTTAGTTAGTTCTGTTTATATTGTTCTTGCAGTTCTCTTTTTATCAGAGTCATATCTAGTTTTTTTTTTAGCAAGCCTTTAGTTTTGGTTATTTTTATATTATTATTATTATTATTATTATTATTAATAGTAGTAGTAGTAGAAGTAGTAGTATTTGTATTCATAGTTATCTCTCTTTACTGTATTTATGCCTTTACTGCTGTCATAATGTTTATTTCCAGGCTTTGGATCTAATTTTACTTGTTTAATTAATAGGCTGAAATAATATAATTCTTGGATACTAACATAATTTGACAAGCAAATGTATATTTATTCAATATATAAAAGTGTTACATTTTATTTACACTGTGAAGCAGCCTTTAGACAGCGCCATAAATTAAATTACATTATGTACTGGACTTAATCTTGATTATTGATCACATTGATTTGTTTTAACTGCAACTGCTTAGTATCGTGAACATTACCTTGTTGTGGCCAGTCCGCTCTGCGGACTTAATGCATGGACCGCCGGGTGTTTTCTCTTGAGGTGCTGCAGCATTGACGAAGTGCTATTGTGAAAAGCCAAGTCCGCCTTGCAGTGAACGCACTGCACGGCGTTTTCTTTTCTTCTCAATGTGTAATGGTCCCACACTTTAGACATTTTCTGCCTTTTCTTCTGCGTGCCACCTCTGTCTTCCTCTCTCTGTCTGTCCTCGTTTCCCTCCATGATTGAACCACATGCGCGTCAGCGGAAGGAGCGGAAAGAGCACGCTGCTGCGCAACAGAAATAACCGTCCGTGTCAAACACCGTGCGCTGCACATGGTTCCGGATTTAAACGATTCCTCGAGGCATATAATTTGCCTCGAGGAATTTTATTAATCGAGTTACTCGAGTTACTCGAGTAATCGTTTCAGCCCTAGACTCATGTGATAAATCTCTCTTATACATTTGTATGAGTATATGATATATATACACACACACACCATAGTCTATGCATTGATTACCCTAGAGCAGTAGTTCTCAAGTCCAGTCCTCGAGGCCCACTGTCCTGCATGTTTTGGATGTTTCCCTGCTCCAACACACCTGATTCAAATGATCAGCTCGTTATTAAGCCATTACAGAGCTTGATAACGAGCTGATCATCAGAATCAGATGTGTTGGAGCAGGGAAACATCCAAAACATGCAGGACAGTGGGCCTCGAGGACTGGATTGAGAACCACTGATCTAGTGTAATGTCTGTCTTTTTTTGTCTTACTTTAAAAATTATACAGAACAATATTTAGTTTCCCCTTACAGTGCTGTCTCTTCATCTAATTTTTTTTTAATGATTAGCCTTCTAATATTTACTGATGTATTAATTTTTAACTATTACTGTCATTTAAGGCCGCTTCTTTGTTTAAATTTTTACCTTTCAACTTCATCATCCTGCTTCCCATAATGCCCAGAGCTCACTAAACATACATTTGCTGTGGAATCAGGCAGCTAAGAGTGTAAATCTGTCTGGTGAGGAAATATGTGGAAAAAAAGTTCACACATGCCCCCACTAACAAGACCTTTTTCTATGATTAATCAAGGCCTAAAGCCAAACTGGTCATTCCTGCATTTGTAATGTTCAGCATTGGACGTATCCCTCCTTCTCTTCCTTTTCTTTGACCCCAATCCTTTCCCTGTCCCATTATTTAACTGTCTTTGCCTCCGTGCCTCATTTTCCCCCCACATCTGTCAGTTCCATCATGAGACTTTATCCTTTCCCTGCCCATCACCATTTCATGCTTGACCACAACCCCTCCGTATCCCCTTGACTCCTCTCAGTGAGTGCTTCACAATCCTCGTCTTCCTGTCTTTCTAGCTTTATTTTGTACTTTCCTCAGTATCGTACCCTCTAGCTGCCCCTGGTGAGCCCTTATACTTCTCCGGTGTCTAATTAATAGTGTCCTGCTGAGTGACCAGCTTTAACCAGCTACACCGCTGTGTGAACAGGTCAGTCCTGTTCATGGGAAAAGAAACACACTAGGCGTACTCGCACACAGACGCAGTACAGTGTTTTCTCATCTCCACCGCAGAGCTTCAAAGTCATCAGCATCATGAGATTAGCAGCACAGCACATGGATGTGTTCAAATGAAACGACTGCGAAAGACAAACTTGACGGATAGAAAATGCAAACTGGCAATGCTTTGCAACTGTTTGTCAAAGCACTTTGTAAACTTTTTAAAAGTGCTATAAAAATAAAGTTATTATTATTATTATTATTATTATTATTATTATCATAGTATTAGTAGTAGTAGTAGTATTATAAATCAAGAAAAAGATGACTGTCAATTTGACTTACTCTAGTTCATATTGCCCAAAATGTAATAAATAAATAAAATTAAATAAAATTAAATACAATTAAATAAAAACAGACCCACATGCTTTATCACTCTAAAAAAAATTAAAATAAAAAAAATTAGTGGATGGCAACCGATGTGATTTTCAAATGATCAAAACACAGCTGAAGTTTTCTATACCCATTTTCTACCAAAAGTTATCATAGCCATTTCACAATGCATAATCCCTAGGGATTCACTGTAAAGGTGGTTAATTATTTCTCTACCTGTTCATTTAAATAACTGGAATGCTGCAGATTTATATCAGAAAGGATGGTCAGAAAGTTTGATCCAGTAAGCAACTTTGGAACTATAAGGCGCACTTAAAATCCATAAATTACATACTTTCTCAAAAATTGACAGTGTGCCTTATAATCCAGCGCGCCTTATGTATGATTACTTGTTGTGCTTACTGACCAATTTTATGTGGTACAATGCACTCAAAAATCTGTCAAATTTGTAAGTACGACTTTGGTAAGCAAGAAGCCGCTCTGCTCAATGGATATTCAGCATTATGGTACGCTGTATCACTACCTGATCGGCCCCAAAACAGGACCCCTGAGCAGTCTCAAAGACTGCCTGACTGTAATGTCTAAACTAGAAGCGCGTTCATGTAAGGCAGCCCGGGCCTGGAGTACACGCTAGCAACAATAATCCAATCAATGCTTAATGCGCCTTACAATCTGGTGTGCCTTGTGTGTGAACAAAGACATGTTAATAATCCCGAAAAATACAGTATTTAAACTTTGCAGGTGCACTTTTTCCCTCAGCCTGTTTTGGTTGAGTATTGTTTGAACTAAGGGATGTACAGAGTTGTCAGGCACTGTTGGCTTTCAGAAACAAGGTGCAAGATTTGAATCTCTGTCAGGGCCGTGTGTCCGTGTTCTGCCTGTGCATATAAGGGTTCAGGTTCTCCGAAGGCATTGGTGGCCCTAAATCTTCTGCAGTTGAGTGTGAATTGTCAATGAATCGACAGGAATTGTGGTTGACAGGCAGCTTGTCCAAGGATTTCCCACTTTAGGTTGGGATTGGTTACAGCCTTCTGGATAATGGGAACAGATAATGGATGTATTATTGTTACTGCTGCCTGAAAGTTCATTTAGATAAATAGAATAACTCAAGGATATAACAGCAGCCACTTCTTTTTCACTTTTTCTAAACTGCTGCTCAAATAGTCAGGGTCTACCTCTGACATTGATGGTAATATAGTAGCAGGCATTTTTGTCCTTGTCAGCACAAGATAAATGCCTGCTGTGGTGTCACTGATTAGATCAGTAACAGCATTCCCTGTCCTTTGGGATTCAGTTCTCATTTTCAATTTAATCGAGGCAAAAAGAAACAGAAACTAAACAAAATTGCTCATAGCTGTTGCTCATCGTGTGCTACGCATCTTTTCCCCAAGAGAAGATAAAGTTGCCAAGATGTCCAGCAATACCAACTAGACGTTATGGTTTATCAAACTGCTTAACAAACAAAAACAGAGGAAGGTAGAAACATGGTTTAAAGATGTGGTCTTAAGGTTTGGCAACAGAGGCAGGCTGGATGACCAAGTAGGCAGAGGCTTCAGTAAAGTTGATAGTGAGACAGAAAGGCAATGATTGTTGCTTTGCCAGGGATTGTCATGTATGAACAAAAACAAAAGGAAGGATCCACATGCAGAACCTTCAATAGTTCATTTAAGCAACAAACAAAAGAGAAAAGTTGAGCAAAAACTTACTTTTCAAAAGTCCAACAGAAAAATCTGTATAAAAAAAACGAGAGGCAAAAATCCAAGACGCAGAAGACACTGGGAAATCATGAGGGCATCAGGTAGGGAAGTCACAAATATACTCTTGACATCCAAAATGAACCAACAAAGTGGGAAGACTGCACGGGTAATGAGCAATGAGAGACAGGTGAGACACTAAGACACAGGTGCAGACAATCACTGAGGGGTGAAAACACCCAGGGATCAACTACTACAAAATAAAACAGGAAGTCAGACTAAATGAGACACACAAGGAGAAGAGACAACAAAATAACTCAGGATCCTCTAAAAACTAAACACAAGACCAAACCGAGAAACACAACAGGAACATAAGAACAATTAACAATGGGGAAGAGAAACACTAGGAACAAATACACAGAAAACACAACTGAAACCAGGACGAAACTAAGTAAACCATATCACGACGGGGCTATTATGACATCCAGTGTTTACAATGATGTTATAAAGCAGGTTAAACCAATTCATTCCACTTTTTGTGTATGCAGAAGAAGAAAAAAATTGTCCTTTTCACCAATGAATGCTCAATGTTCAGTTCATAGACTGTATATAAAATGGATGTCGTCTGCCTCCTCGCTGGATGAAGCCACTTCGAGAACAGCACCCTCTGGTGACGGGCTGCAGTATAGGTCATAAATCCTACCTCCTCCAGAAAAATTTACGGAGTTGTGGACAAACTTAAGAAATTATAACACAGAATATAAATTTTCCTCTCCCCTGGTTGCGATGTTGACATGTAGTTATTGTAAGACTGGTTTGTGCTCAAGTCCTCTTTTTTCTGTACAGTTCCATTTTGAAAAGTTATCAGAGGGTTCATGTTTTCTATGATTGACACTTGATACAGCCTATGAGCGTGCAAAGATTGCATAGCTCAACCACGGGATACACTGTTTGAGCCAAGCATCATCACAGTGACTCACAGCGACATTGCGCAGTAGTGTTATAATGCTACTGCCAAATGTTAGTGGTGGGAAATGAAGAAAAAACGCGTAAATACCAAGAGATTTTTGGCTTTAAATCCCTAAACTGGTGGAAGTTGGAACCAAGTTGTCCATACAGTCTATGGTTCAGTTGTTTAGTCCGGTTTTGATGTAAACACATCGTTGGGTTTGTATAAAATGGCCACCATTGTGAATTTAACAGATGGTCCAGTTGTGGACACTTCCATTTTGGCTATTTGTAAATACATTTAAGTTAAACATTGAGAAGGACAGTAGTTACAGACCCACATGCAGGTGAAAGTAAATATTAGTAGGCTTTGGTGCATCGTCTAGTCTTCTGACCACTAAAAACACTTGTCCATCAAAATCATAATTTCCATGATTCTGATGAACCACGATGGTTTCAGCATGCAATGTTGAATTATTTGTGATCATTGTTGCCACAGCAACTGTGGAGTTATTTTTTTATTATTTTATTGGTAAATTACTTAGCATAAATCCTATCAGCGCAAACTGAACAGCTGAGAGAGCTAAAGAAAAGTGCCAAGTTAGCATAAATGCACACACAGTACTAATTATGCTTGTCATGTCGGGGGCATGTGACAATTTGTGGCTCCAGTGGTTTCTATTACAAGTTGATAAGATTGGGAAT